GGGGTATGGAATTTCACCTGAATGTCAAGGAATATGTATGTATGTACCTATACCAGATTTCATTAGGTTATCTCAATTTTTACTCAAGTTACATACTGCTTGCACTTGTAGAGGGACGGATGAATAGCTTACGGATTGACCTCCTCATCTAGTGATCCTGATTACATTAGGTGAACAAAAATATTATATTCTGTTGGAACACGTTGCATAAAAATAAGCGCATGAAACAAATAATGTAGGCTAACATGACGTAACTGCCCTACAACACAAGACCTCTAAGCAGATACGAAAGTGTAAACTGTGAATTATTGCTTCAATACTACTTTTAAATTCTACAAGCCAATGTCAAAAAATTTTATAATGTCTTAACTTTCGAACATTTCTGTTTTTTTCACTGTCATTTTAAAAATTATATTATTTATATTTATTTACAACGTTATATAACGAGCGGTAAATTGTTGAATTTATTTTTGATCACTGTTTCCTTTACATATATTTTAGAATGTATATTTATGTGCGCATTAACTTTCACTTTCTCAGGTACAAGATTACTTACTGCCGTTATTACAGCTCCACTTAATAATTCATTGGGCAAGCGATGGGTAAGTTTGCACCCTAACAGAATGACGATCTCAGTAAAATTCGATCTTCAGCAGCTTCGGACCCACAAGCTTCTAATGGCCGGATTGATGAAGCACCGCTCAAGGATTTTGAAAGTGCATTGGAAGCGTGTGGATTTGGTAAATTTAACTACTCTCTCCTCTTTGTGTCTATGCTGGCAATTGCCGCAACTGTGTTTGAAACCTCAAATATATCGTACATATTGCCCACTGCGGAATGCGATCTTCAGATTGGCTTATTAACAAAAGGAGTACTGAACGCTATAACTTACGCAGGTAAGCACAGATGAGCATACTAATGTATGTGTGTATGTATTTTCCTGAATGTCATGAGAAATTTTGAGCGGTCATATCTAACCCTAATCTAAAACTTCGAACAATCGTAATTGCTATGTGTGGTGATGCCATATTTGCTTGTGGTGATAGAGCGAGAGGCATGGATACTGCCTGTGTGATAAAGCAGTGACATGGAAATTCTTCAAGACAAATTTCTTTTGGAGATTTATGTACGAGTACATATATACATACATGTACATATGTGTTAAAGATTTTTTTTCAATTATGAAATCAACTAACATTTCTTTTACTAATAAGGTATGATCATATCGGCAATGCCTTGGGGCTACCTAGCGGACACCACCGGTCGAAAGCATGTGTTAATGTGCGGACTTCTTATTGGCAGTTTAATGGATTTAGCATGTGCCTGTAGCCAAACTGCAATTCAATTAATCGTCTTTAAATTTTTAGCCGGCTTTATGTAAGTGTTGCATTTGTTAAGTATTAAAAGTAAAAATGTAGTTACATCAACATTTTACAGTAACTGTGGTCCACTTGCTGTAGTCATGACATATTTATCTGAATTTCATATAAAAAAGCATCGATCCCGAGTATTAATGATTTTAGGTATGATCAAAACTATCGATTTGCTTATACTGCCCGCTATTGCAACAACAACTCTGCCACATCATATAGCTTTCGAAATATGGGTCATGAAATGTGAGTAAATTAATTAAAATATCCCAGCCAGCCTCAAATTGGCCCAATATAGAAAATTTCCGAATGCTCTAAATTTTTCATTGATAATAAATCACTCATATCCCTCTCTGGAATATATACCTGTGTTAAGTAAATTAGACTTATTTATCCTTAAAATAAATTCAGTTCATACGTGGAATGTTTTCCTCGCTATTACTGCTTTACCTGGCCTCATCAGTGGTCTATTACTTCCCTTTTTTCCGGAAAGTCCCAAATATCTTATGTCACAAGGAAGAAATGTGGAAGCTTTGGCAACTTTCAAAACCATATACGCTTTAAACACGGGGAAAAATAAAGAATCATATCCGGTATATAAAATAAATTGAATGATAATTATAGTAGCATAAGCGACTTTCATTTCAAAATCTATGGAAATATATTTTTATATTAGGTAATTGCTCTATTTGAAGAAGCACCTGAAAAAGCTGCAAAAATAGCGGCAAAAACTGATAAAGGGCAGGAGGATATCAAAACGTTGAAAAACAGACAGCAAAACGCCAAAGAAACTTTTAAAGATGGTCTGAAGCAATTAAAGCCCATGTTTTCCCGTCCTTATCTGAAATTTTCTTTTATGGTGTACCTCATGGGCTTTTCGATATTACTCGGGTAAGTCTTAATCCAAAAGACGGTAGATAAACGAAAATGTAATAATAATTTTTAATATTGCAATTTCAGTCAAAATTCGGTAAGGTTATGGTTGCCTCAACTCTTCGCATCCATTGTAGAGTATAAACAGCTTTATGGTAGTACATCTAGTATGTGCACCATATTAGAATATAATGTGAACAGAACTCAGCTAATTAAAAACGAAGATGAGATGAAAACGTGCGATGTTCATATTAACTGTGAGTCATATACAAACAATATTGTTGTGTCGGCCTGTACAGTTTTCGGATTCTTCTTGGTCAGCTTTATAATCAACAAAATCGGGAATAAAACCCTGCTGAGTACGGAATGTTGTCAAAAAACGAGGGCGGTCCGAAAAGTACTTAGTCTAAAAGAACACAAAAATTTTGGGACAAAGTCATTTATTTCTCTACATAGTTTCCTTTTAGTTACACTATACTTGACCCAGTGCTGCTCCGATTCCTTGAAACCGTCTGAAAAATATATTTTCTGAAGATTTGAAAAGTAAAGCAATTCGCCATAGTAAAATCCAGTGATCATAGGCACTTCTCCAGGTAGTTGATGCAGATCACAGGATAGGATAGTCTTTATCTTCTTCGAAGAAGGTTCACCGGAGGACGCCCACTGTTTCGACTGTTCCTTGATTTCATTTATGTAGTGGCAGTTGATTCATGTTTCGTCGACGCGCGCGATTGATACAGAAACTTTCTCTGATTGCACTTCAATTTCGTCAAACACTGTGTAAAGTTGTCTCACACAGTCCGTGTTAAGCAAACGCGGCACACATAGCACTGATAGATTTCTCATGTCCAATATTTCTTGCAGTATATACACACGCGATCTTGAGATGCTTACTGTCTCTGGTGTCTCGCGGAATTGGGTACCTTTTTGGCCGCCTTTGTACATTACAGTATATTCAATAATTTCTATAAACAAACATCTATGTATTCATTCAACTATAGATGGTGCGCTGTTCACATCCTTAATTTTTGCTGTATCATTTTATTGGTCCTTATCTGAGTATTCCACCTTAGCCATATCGGCAATTTTCGTAACAGCTAGCAGCATAGCTGGTACCACCGTTGTAAGCGTCTCAGTCAATTTGTTTCCAACTGTAATGAGGTAAGAAGAAATATTATATTGTATATATTTTATAATCGAACTCAACTCTAATCTACTAATAACATATTTAAAGCGATAAAACCAATATTCCTTTGTAGTATAATAACAACAATATATGATTGCTTTAGATGAAAATGCCCGAGTATTTAGGGTGTACGATTAATTTAATTTTTATATTGCAACATGTTGCTACAAAGTATAATAGTTTTATTCACCTAACGGTTGTTTGTTTCACCTAAAACTAATCGAGATAGATTAAGAGTTATGTATCTATAAATGCTCAGGATATAGAGATGAGTTGAAATCCGGGTGACTATCTCCGTCCGTCCGTCTGTGCCAGCAGTACGGTAAAAACTTGCCCTAGTCCCGATATATTTAATATCAGAATTTTCAAACATCCGGTTGACTTTACAACTGATATATTCTTGATGACAGGTGAGGTGCCTTAAGGGGTTACGTGGGTTTCGTTGGGTAAAAACAGGCCTATTTTCAATAATTTTTTTTCTATATAAAAATTCATTATTTAATTCAAACTTTTTTCTGTCTTAAACCCATTAAACCCATTAAAAAATTATTTCTGAGATTTAAAAAAAAAATTAAAACTCCGTCATTGTAACGTCATTTCCGGTGACCCCTCGAAAAAAATGTGCGTCCACGTTGTCAGCATAACTCCTGACAGGATCATCGAATAAAATAAAATATTGTAGTTGCAATTGAAAAAAATCCTTCGTCCAAGCACGAGTAAATTGTATATCAAACACCTGTATAAAATTTTATCAAGATCGGTTGAGTAGTTCGTGAGAAATCTTGACAGCCGACTTTGAAAACACAGTTTTGTGAAAAACACGTTTAAAGTTTTAAGTGACTATATAGCTGACCTCGAGCACGCAGCTTTTTAAAGCTGTATCTCCAAAACTATTACTGGTATCAACTTGAGAACTTAAGAATATTCTAGAAATATTATACAATTAAATAAGACAATAAAAAATATTTTATTTTTTGAAGCCGTGAAATCCATTTAACCCCTTAATGATACTCTGAGGTCATATGTTTTTGTTAATAATATTTAGTAATGCCAAAAATAGATAAAATCGGGTCAATATTACACCTATTTCCCATATACCTAATAAAAGATTTTCAAACTTCCGATTCTTACCGATCTTATACCGTATATATCGGTCGATATGTATGATACCGAAATTTACTGAACGTGTAATATTGGATATACTTTAGTTTATTGTCGAAAGTATGTGAAATTATATTATACTACATTTAATAACGGCTACATCCGAACTTATCCCTTCCTTTCTTTTTATTGTTAATTTTTATTACACTTAATGTAATACTTATTTAAATATTGCGAGATCGATGTCCGCAAAAATGATAGGGTGCTGCGATAATTCAACTAGATCGTTTCTAAAGAAAGGATCGAATGCACGTAGGGTCGCATTTGTTAGCTGAGGTAGTGTATAGACGCGGTGTTGTGTGTGTGAAGGAGGTGTTCTCAGAGTGTGGTGTATTGTTGTGTGTTAGGTTAGTGTGTACCATTATTTTACCAGGTGGAGCGGTGTACTTGGAAGGGGCAGTTTATACTAATTTAAATAATATTATTGCAAATTTAATTTAAAACAAGAAAAACGTTAACTTCGGCTACACCGAAGCTAAAATACTCTACATAGGTGCATTTTTAATAGCAAAAAGGAGTATAAAAATATCTTCATTTTGATTTTGATCGGCCCTTTTATATGGCAGCTATATGCTATAGTGGTACGGTCTGAACAATTTCTCGGATATTGTAACGGTACATTGAATAATAATCTATGCCAACTTTCGTGAAGATACCTTGTTAAGTAAAAAAGTAATCCAAACAAGGCCTTGAGTTCGATTGTATTACAGCTATGTTTTTGTTATAGTTATTTGAACGAAACAATTTCTTCGGAGATTGCATAACTGCATTAGGCAATAATCCATGCCAAACTTCTTGAAGATATTTCGTGAAATGAAAAGGCTTTCCATACAAGCACCTGATTCCAATTGTTCAGTACATGTGTTATCTATACTATACTGCTATAGTGGTTCGATCTCAACAATTTGCATTAGACAATAATCCATGTTTTTGTTAGACAGTTGAATAGAATTTTTCATTTATTTAACTTTAATTTTATAAATTTTAATTTATATATATACATATATTTTTATAATTTCTAGAGCAATGGTTGTTGTACTTGTACTCACGTCTGGACGACTGGGATCTCTGTTGGGGAATGTATTGTTCCCAATTTTTATAACCATGGGTTGCATACCGCCGTTTATAATGATTGGTGGTGCAATACTTTGTAAGTTATCTTTATTTCATTATAAAGGCATTTAAATAAATTTAAATAATTCAATTAAACTCATTATATTAGGTGCCTGTATAATTTCATTTTTTATACCAAGAGCAAACAGCGAATTTTTCAAATAATTTGCATTAAATGTTGAAAAAAACTTTATTTTGTTTTGAACAACTAAATTTAGATAACTGTAAATTTGAACAATTTTTAAAATAAAACGCAATTAAAAATCAAAAACGACGTTTTCTTCACTCTTTCAATTTTTGGCGTTCATGAAAGTTTCCCATCTAGGTTTAACATTAAGTATTCAGTTTGCTTTACTCTCTACAAGAACTTAATTTTGATCGATTAGTTTGTATGCAAGCTAAATGCTATAGTGACTGGATGCCGATTTCTTCGAAAATGGCACCGTTGCCTTGGGCAATAAACCATGCAAAATTTGGTGAAGACAACTCGTTAAATGAAAAAGTTTTCTATACAATCACTTGATACCGATCGTTCAGTTTGTATTGCAGCTATATTCTATAGTTATCCGTTCTGAACCATTTCTTCGATGTGTGTACCACTGCCTTAGACAATAATCCATACCAAATTTCTTGAAGATATCTTGTCGAATGAAAAGCTTTCCATACAGCACTTGATTCTGATCGTTCAGTTTGTATGACAGCTATATGCTAAAGTGGTCCCATATCGGCGATTTCGAAGGAGCAGCTTCTTGGGGAGAAAAGGACGTGTGTAAAATTTTAAATTGAAGTCTCAAAAACTGAGAGACTAGTTCGTGTATATGCAGACAGACGGACGTGGCTAAATAGACTCAGCTCGTTATGATGATCATTTACATACATATGCATATATTTTATTGGGTCTCCAACGTTTGCTTCTGGGTTTGACAAACTTCGTGGCAAATTTAATATATCCTGGTTACGGTGTAAATATATACAAGTACATGTACACAAAAGTTATGATACTTGCCGCAAAGAAGTTGGAAACAGAGCAAGTACCACTCCTAATAGAGATGATGTTGATAAGGCCGCCACTAGTGTAAGACTGGTCACTCTTTATTATCAAAGCGTTCATATACAAGTAAGAAACAAAAAGTGTTGCTAAGAAGACAGTAAATAGAAGTAATCTACTCTGCATATGAATCATTTCCTAAAGGGACTATACCCTTATATTTGTACATGCTGTTGCAGAGTGAACAGATTTGGGAATATGCTACTTTCCAAACATTGGCTTGATTCAAATACATAAACATGGCTTATAACATGGAAAGTGAAAAATGAACGAAGCCAAGAAATCAAACAATTTGCAATTAAGACTTTGACTGCGAGCGCTGTCAAAATTTAGATTAGCGATTCTATTGTCCGGTAAATTCATCCGAAGACATGCAATGATTCAGTTGGATTAACGGGTGTTGCGTTACATACTGAAGGAAGTGTTTCCATATTTAACATGCTTACCCTCAGAGTTGATCAAGAGACAATATTCATCCACTCATATCGAACAACTTCCGGTTAGGAATAACTAACATTGTATAATCTTTCCAAAGCAGTTATAAATCGCGGTAAGTTGTGTTCAAGTTATCTAGAACGATGAAGCTGGTGAATAGTTTTAATTATCGGAGACGAGAATGATGTAGCGCGGCCCCTGATAACACTGTAAGTATCCGATAATTCATTGTATGAATTACATGAGGCATTTTCTCTGTACAAACCAAACCGACGCAATTGCAGCAAAGAACGCAAGATATATCAAAATAATTGCCTATATTTACACATTTGAAAACATATTTTCTTTAAAAATAAACCGAGCCGCCAGTGTGTACATTACAATTTATATAACAAAGCCTAATCTATATGCTTAAAATGAAAACAATATTTTACAAAGTAAAGTCAAATACACAATTATATATATGTACATATGTATATATCAATACGGATTTACATATTTACATATCAAGTAAATAAAAGTAGTTGACAATAGAGTTAATTGGAAGTCCCATTAAATTCAACTACTGTTTTCCATTATCGTTTTACTCATAACCTTATGTATAATTAATATTCTAAGTAATACGTATATCTATGTGTCTATAGTAGTACAAGAAACCCCGATTTCAGTATATTGTTTCCATTTCACTTGAAGGTAATTTCCTCCGCGTCAGGCAAAATGAAAGATAAAGCACCAGCAACTGCGTGAGTAAAAAATATTGAATGAATAAACATATGGGTATACGAGTAATTAAGATATCAAAGCAGATATATATTAAAAGATTCTGAATGATCATGTGTTCAATATTAGTATGCATCCCCAAATATTCATTTGTTTTTTCAAAAGATGGTGATGATCTGAAACACTGGTTCAATGTGCTGAAATATAAGTATAATTCGTTTTTTTATATGCTGTTCAACTAAATGGAGTTTGAATATTTAATGGAAAACATACGCTATTTACATATATTTATGTTATGTAAAATTGGTTACAAACTGACTTTTTGCAAGATAACTTGGAGTTCTTCTAAAGGCAACTAACCAAGAGTTTAGTTTTAAGTTCTAGCTTGCACTAGGACTATTAACTTAAGTTTCCGGATTGAAATACATTTTATTACATTATCTAGTAGTACCTTCTTCAGAACATATACCTCCTTCAATTATCATATGCATATATACACATGTATCTACACATGTATATCTACATATGTGTATCATGAAAAGTATCGAAAATAAATCTTACCAAGCAATACACCGCCGACCATTAGAAAAGGTTGTATACAACCCATTTCCATAAAAACAGGAAATAACATATTTCCAGACAAAGCGCCCAGTCGACCAAACATCATTGCTATTGCAACCACCAGTGATCTGGAAAGATATTGTGATAAAAAAATCTTAAAAATAAGAAAAAACATTAACTTCGGTTGCAGTGGAGCTATAATACCCTTCACAAATACAAAGTATTCCTTACAAGAACTTAATTTTGATAGATTAGTTTGTATGGAAGCTAAATGCTATAGTGACTTGATGCCGATTTCTTCGAAAATGACACCGTTGCCTTGGGCAACAAGTACATGTACACAAAAGTTTAGATACTTGCCGCAAAGAAGTTGGAAAAAGAGCAAGTACCACTCCTAATAGAGATGATGTTGATACGGCCGCCACTGATAAAAACACAGATGATATAATAAGAGTGGAAAGCCCATTCACTGACCAGTAGAGTGATATGCCGAGACAGCCAGATATTAAGAGTCCATAAACTAAAAAGTGCGAACGATTATTTAAAATATCTTTTTACAAATTTTTTATTCACATATGTATGTACTTAGTAAATTCTTAGCTCCTACAGCTCGTACAGTTATACCAGCAAAACAGTATGCCACTAAACCAGCCGCGGAGACGATAATATTATTAGTGTATAGATCTATTGACACTTTTGGTAGCTGTAAATCATATAGATATTATTTGATAAATTCAAACAAATTAGCAATTAGTAATTAGGGTAAAAAATAGAATTTTAAATCTTTTTTAAATTTACGTTACTACAGGAGTCCTGAAAATCTGTAATCACTGATGTTCTATTAACACTGTACTCTAGAATTGCACATAGATTCGCTGAACCTGATTCACCGTTATATAGAGCTTCGTATTCAGCGATAGATGCGAAAAGTTGAGGCAACCACAGTCGAATAGTATTTAAACTGTAAAATATAATTCTTTGATTTTTATGAATTTCAATCATACATGACGCTTACCCAAGTAAAATACAGAATTGCATAGCATACGCGTGAAGGGAGTGACCCAATAAAGGCTTTGTGAACATGGGCTTGATCTGCTTTATTCCTTCCTTGAAAGCTTGTGAGAATGTTCTGGGCTCACGTTTGTATTTCGGCTTAACTGACTTGTTTTCTACAGTAAATATATGCTCATCAACATTCGAGATACGATTTGGAACTTCCTCAACCAGCTCTTTGATCTGAAGAATGTAATAAAATTTGGAAATGTGTAATGACTTTATCAAGGATAATACGTACTGGATAAGCATTCATGCTTGCTCTTTTATTAACAGAATAAATCTTTTGAAATGCGAGGAGGGCCTCAGCATTTCTTCCTTGAGACATTAAAAATTTAGGACTTTCAGGCAAAGCAATAAGTCCTAATCCACCGATTAGACTTGGTAAACTGGATACTGCCAAAAATATTTGCCAAGGATGTACTAATAAGGTAATTGGTCAAAATAAATATTCTGAATATGCTCTTAGATTAAATATTATACTTAGTAAAGTTTCAAACAATACGAATTCCCAATCTCGTGGAAATATTGCCCACGCCAATAGAGGCATTATAAGTGTTGCCAAAGACATAACCATTCCGTAAACCATAAGAACTCGTGGTCGATGCGCGGAGCCGTGCATCTCAGTTAAATATGTTAACAGTACCGCACCAGGACCATTCACGCTGTAATGTAAAATGTTTTTTAATTGGAGACAAATCACAAAGGAATCAGAATTAGTCTTACATGAAGCCGCCCAAAAATTTGAATGCTACTAGCATTTCAAAATTCTGCGTCAAAGAGCTGCAAAGTACGCAAACGGCGTCTATTAAATAACCGTAAATCAGAACCTTTCTCCTCCCAATTGTGTCTGCGAGATAGCCCCAAATAACAGCCGACGATATCATACCAGCATATGTAGCTCCATTTAAAATTCCTTTATCGAAAAGTGTCATTTTAAGATCACATTCAGCAATTGGAAGTATATACGACATTGTGGTGGTTTCAAAGGTGGAGGCGCAGGCCGCAAATATACCAACTATAAGCAAGACTAAGTTGAATATCCCAAAACCTGTTAAATTCATCGCTTGTTCGAAGTCGGCTGGTTCATATTTTTATATATAAGAATAATAGTAAACAAAATAATTAAATTGTCATTATGTATTTGATTAATATAGCATAAATCCTGTTATACCTATATCTTATGTAGTACGTTTCAATAATTAAAAGTAGCTCTTAACAAAGTCTAACAGTAGTTTGTAGTGATGTCAAAAATTGTTTAAATCAAGTCAATACCCATCGAATATAAGAATTTCAATCTTCCTTTATACATAATACCGCATATATCAGTCAATATGTAAGATATCCTGCCAAAATTAAGTGAACATATAATATTCCATATATGTAAAGTCAGTCCACAAATTTTCGAAGCTTCAATATATTACATATAATGATTTTCGTTATTATAACATAAACATATGTATGTCGATCAGTATATCAAGCTTCACAAAATTACGTGGAAACATGATCTCGAGTAAAAATGAGTATTACCAACATCATTCCAGACCATACCCTAACCCCAATATACTCGATGGAATGATTTCCGACTTTCTACTTTGCTTTAAACCAATTATGTCGTTTTAATAACATTAATACGTGAAGTTCTCATAAGAAATATGTGGTTCAGAGAGTAATATGAAAGCAATTGGTCTAAACCTTGGTATAAACCTCATATCTGTAATATACATATACACAATATATTAAATTTAACTTCTTTAGTTTTATTGCGCAACATGTTTGTTCTCTCGTATAACAGTTTTTTTCACCTACGGGTTGTTTGAACACCTAAAACTAATCGAGATAGAAAAAGATTTACTTAACTGATCAGGATAACAAGACGAGTTGAATTCCGAGTGACTCCAAGATAAGTTGCTATCCGTATCGAACTATTACCACACCCAAACTATTACCAACCAAAAAATTCATCCGTGGTTTAAAACTTTTAAAAAGTAGGCGTGGCCCCACGTTTCAAAAGATTATGCATATCTGAAAAACCACTAGATCTTTTTTAACCAAAATTGCTGAGAAGAAGTTACTCTAGTATTTCTTCAAACACTGTGAAAACACCTGAAATTAGATAAGCGCTAACGGTCACGCCCCATATAACTGCTATTTTGAAAACTACTAAAAGTGCGATAACTTATAAACTAAATTTCCCAGAGACATAAAATTTTACACCCGGTATCAAAATTATACGATGAGCGTAGTTTCGCCCACCTTTAGGTGAAACCCTATATCTTAAGAACGACTTCACCAATATCAACCAAAATTAGTATATAACTTTATTTCGACATTCAGATTACAGAGTGAAAACGGGTGAAATCGGATTACAAACACGCTTACATGTACATACATATATAAATCGAGAGCCAAGGTCGTTATCGAAATAAAACTTACACGCAAAGTGCATTTAAGATATACCATCTCAAGTATGGAAATAGTCGAAATCGAACCATAATTTTTATGGCTAACTTATTGCCGAAGTATGTCCTTCCACCAAAAGTGGATAAAATCAGTCCTATAATAACCCAGCCCCGAATCATCCCAACTTCCATATACTATATAATATATAATGATTTTCGCTATTCCAGTAGACTTTATGCCGAATATGAGAGTTATCTTCATACACTTGGAAACATGTTCGGAGTATACTGGAATAATGTCAATAGTATGTAATGAAAATTGAAAAGTCATGGTTCGATTTCGACTATTTTTCGATTTGCTTGATTTATATTTTGTAAATTGAATGAATTATTTGAAATTTAAATGAGTAAATTGATTAATTAATTAAACAAAATAACAAAAGAATATTAAGGTAATGTTGTGCCCCAAACTTGACTGAATGGTTGAATAGTTCATGAGATATGGTACAACATGCCACTCCCATTGTTCCATTTCTACTTCGCTTCACTTGAAGCCCTTAAGTGCCATCATAGTTATAATACGATTTCTCCCATTTTCATAGTTCCTGCTCAGAAAGTTTGGTCGATATAACTCGTACAGGTTGTGACATATGTACATTAAACCTATTAGGGGCGCACAACGCTTATTTTTGAAGATTTTCATCCCTAAAACGCCTCGCACTACTATGATCCGGAATTTTACTCTCATTATCTTGATCATGTAAACAAAACTATTATACTCTGTACGTTAGCAACATGTTGCTACGTGTTGTAATGTAGGTAATTTGACGTTCTACAAAAAAATTCCAACATGATTTTTTGCTAAGTCGACACTTTCAAAAGTTATTCGAGGACAAAGTATAACCTTAAATCGTAAAAGATAATTTTTACAATTCTTTATATTGTTTCAAAAAATTATGCCTCACAATCATATTTTATGATAAGATAAATGAGTAAGCTAAGTTCGCACAGTATTCAACAAAACTGTGAATGGATTAAAATCATATAAGACATATTAATATTATGTCAGCGATGTTTATATCAAGATCAACCTAATTAAGTCAAATTATGTATATCTGATCTAAATTTAGTCTAAGGTCTAGGTCCAATTTCATTCATATTAAGCGCTTAACCCCCCGCTAATTTTTAAGAAAACTTGTGCAGTTAATTTCATTAAAATATCACACATATTACCCGACCCAACCGGTTTAAAGTCGGAAATCACTCTATCCGGTGTATTTGGTAAAGTCGACGAGACTTACACATTCATTGCCATATTGGGCATAAAATTGAACTATACTTATCGAATATTATTGACTGATATGTACGGTTAAGACCAACCCAGAGACCGAAATTCTTGTATTGGATATATGGAAGATAGGTTTAATGTTGCTCGATTTCATAAATTTTTGGCATTACGACGTACTACTATCAGTCAAAAATTTTATCTAAGTTTCATTAATGGACTTCAACCTGAAGTACAGTATATGGGAGACAAGTATTGACCCGATTTTATAAATTTTTGGTACCACAACATATTTTATGAAAAAAAGATGCTCGGAAACTTTCAATGAGATAAAGCACATATTGACCTACCATATGTATAAGGCTTAAAAATAACCGGATGTTTGAAAACCCTTATATTAGGTATATGGGACTAAGGGAAGTCTCCGATTTTATCCATCATAGGCAAAAGGATACAATGTAAGTAAAATATGAGTTATAGGCACTGGGGTCCATATATAGGGTCACTTATTTTCGCACATTTTTATATGTTGGGATAATTTAATGCATCAAATTTGTTTGAAATTAATCAAGTTAACTACTGAGATATAGGATTTCACCTTAAAGTGGGCGGTATCACGCCCGTTTTCTTATATTTGCACCGGCTCTTATGAAGCCCTTTTTATAATATATGTATATGTATATAAAATTTAATGCTTCTGACGTATTTATTTAGTGACTTATCGCACTTTAGGTAGTTTTCAACGCAACCGTTATATGGGGAATGGGCGAGGTTATCACCCGAGTTTATCCATTTTCACTTTGTCGGAGGAGGGGCCAAAAATATTTGTCTTATGTAAATTTGGTTGATGTAGCTAGAGTGGTTTGTGAGATATGTATGTACAATAAGCTTATTAGAAACCTTTTTACCAAATTACAGTTTTTTATCTTAATTTGAAGCTTGACAATTTCAAATTGTTGAGTGGGGTTTTTATTGCATTTTATGTGACAACTTACGATGGTAATGCGTGCATATATTTTTTACACCATCAGAAAGTAGACATTTCAGCGAAGAAAAGGCCTACCGACTTTTTTAAAAATATTTTGACGTGCGAATTTTTACGCTATGGCGTATGACCAGCGCAGATTTTTTAATATATATATTTATATAATTTTTTATTCAATATAACCTCCCTAACTTCAATACATTTATTCCAATGAATCTCCAATAATTTTATGCCATCCCTATAATGACTTTCCGTTTCTTCATTCGACAAAAAACGCTTTACACAAAGGAATTGTTTTAGGTTTCTGAAGGTTACTAGTCGCTGGGAGCAATTCGTACTGTAATTAGTTGAATTTTGTCATTGTTAAAACATCTTTGTGAGGCAGGTGCATTGTCTTGATGAAAAATGATTTTTTTATGCTGGTATTTTCTCACTAATTTTTTTATCCGGTTGATCAAAAAGGCTGTAATAATATTCAGAGTTAATCGTATTACCTTTCTGCAGATAATCAATCAGCAAAATTCCTTTTGCTTCCCAAAAACTGACGCCATAACCTTCTTTGCTGGTCGTTGTGACTTCGCCTGATTTGGAGCTCAACAACCAGCTTCAGTCCACTGTAAACGTTCTTGTTTCAATTTAGGATCATATTCTGCTTAAAACGCTCCAAATGCTGAGAAATTTGTTTTGATCCAGTTTTTGTTTAATTGTTAACGTGTGCGGCACTAACTTTCCAAACAGCTTTGTCATATGTAATTCTCCATGTAAAATATGAAGTACTCGTTCGTCTGAGATGCCTATGGCATAAGAAATTTCACGCATAGTCAAACTTGGATCTTCACTTACAATATTATGAACTTGCTCAATGATTTCTGGTGTGGTTACGTCCACGTTTAAATTCACCAACCCTAAACTCAACGGGGCGTTTTGAATGTGAGGACTCCTTATACACTTCTAGCAATTGTTCTTAAATTTCCTTTGCTTTTAAACTTTTCAAAAAAAATAATCTAATCACTGCGCGATATTAAATTTTTTCCATATTAAAAGTTTGTAAACAAAGAATTAATTGTCAGAATAACTTGTAGCTTTGCATGTGTTCTAACGACAGATGAACCAGGGTAGTAGTGCTATTTCTTGGTGAGAGCATAAACTTAGCAACCAACCTGTATGAATGAAGAAATTCTATCTTCAATAGAAGGGAAAAGTACAGTGACGAATTATTTGACAATAAAGGACTTGTTACGTTTAATTTTTAGCAAAAACTGAAACTTCAGGGGACTTCTGCAAAAAATAAAGGACATTCCAGTATACATATATCAACTACTGTATATACGCGAATAAGTAATTAAAAGTCATTTGATAATGGAATTACAATATGTTTAGTTATACCTTTTAGGTTAACACTTGCTGGTGTTGTTGATCCAACATTTTCTTCCATTTGGAATAATAATAACCCTTTCACAAATAATACAAGAGACCAATATATATATATAACTATATTTTGTTGCACTTTCAATCACGTTGATTAGTTCGAATGAAAATGATTAAAAGTCCATGGCATTTTTCTTTTCCTTGATCTGAATAGTAATTTTTATATAACTACAAATCACAGTAGTGTATATACACGTTTGCACTACAACTTTTGCTATGAACTCGCAACTTTCTGTCCAGATGGCCAACTACTCGCGTTAACGCACAGAATATGAATGCCTTATTATTTCGAATGAGATACTCATCTGCTAATTAAGAGTCTTAGAAAACCACCCAAAGATTTATTGCAATCATAGAGCATGTTATCACCTGTGTGTATCATATTAATATAAGACTCTGTCGACGTCATAAAGATATTTATGTATTATCAGTAATCTTAATACACAGTCACGTACATGTTATGTCTTTGGAAATTTGCCCGTAATGGTGTTTGGTCACCCATCTAAATAAACATCTTCTTTAAAAACATTTAAATAAACGCTTAATGTGATGTAAAATATTTAATACATTGTTTTTCTTATAGTCTTGAAGTGTGTATAGTCTAATGTATTGGAATGTAAATTGAAAAAAGAAGTTCTAACTGTATTTTGTAGCTATTGTATTTATTTCCATTTTCGAGTTTCCACATTTCAATTCCAACGAGTTATGGTATGATGCTGCCTCTCACGCATTAACAGAACAGTCACGTCTAGAATAACTTTCCTTCTTACTTAATCATAAAAATACTAATCGTATTTGGTTATACGAGTAGATCCTTCTCTAAATACAATATTAAGAAAAAAAACAAGTAAGAAAGCGCAATGTTCGGGTGTAACCGAAAATTTTCTACTTTTGCAACAATCAAAGATCAAAGCCGGCGAAATACTTATAAATAGGTGTTGGAAAAACTTTATGGGGGATACTAGGGTATATTTTTTATTAACATATATACAGTATAAAACCAATCTGAAGTATGAAATCCTTATATAAGGTATACGACAGTTAGGGGTAATATTGATGCAATTTAAGTATCTATGTCCAATGGGTTATTCCGGTATATTAGTGGTTTTCAACCGATTATCTTTATTCAATTGCGAAAAAGTAACGGTCAATTGATCTAAAAATAAAACACTTACTTAATCATAACGGAAGTAGTTATTAAACTTCGTTTAATACATTGCATATGCATACCAAATACTAAAACACAAATTTTGACATTAGTACCATCGACTAGTGTGTGTATATATATAGTTTAAGATCTAAAAAAACAAGTTAGTTAATTTTATGAGATTTGGGATTTAGTGTCTGAACGCGTGAAATGTTATGCTTAACATTGTTTGTGATACTGTTGCTCACCGGATTACTTCTTGGCAATTGGGTCAATCTGGGAAGACTTCTTTGGTGTAAATAATTTGAGTATTCCTTTACATTTGCATGGTTTCAGTAATATTCAAAACAAAGTATACTTGTATATATGGTTAGAATGACTTGGCAAATTTGCTAATATGACGTCTATAATAAAAACTAGTTATTTGCTTCCTGATGTGTCACTCGGGTTTCACATAATACGGGCATGCTGTTTTCTTTCACCTTGAATTCAGATAAAAGGTATATCAGTATTTTGTTATATTTACACTTTTTAGTATATCTTATATATATATATATTATCTTGTTTTGTTCAGAATGTATTTCACAATTTTGTAATCCGTAGTGGATTGCTTGTTAAAACACATATTTTATAAGTATGTAGCTATTCGATATGTAAGAATAAACCTGATTTGGACAAGCTTGTATTTATAAAGCATTTTTACCCACGAAACTAAAGTTTAATCATGTAAAACCTTTTTTCAAATTAAAAACTATTTCTTAAGTACATTTGATTAAGGAAATTTTCTTAAAACATGTGATTAATATTATTATTTTTTACCCTGAACAGAGTATATTCAGTTTGCCACGAAGTTTGTAGCACCCAGAAGGAAACGTCGGAGACCCAACAAAGTATATGTATATGTCAGTGGTCAGTGTGGCGAGTTGCGTTAATTTATGATATAAAAAATGCATCTGTGAGGTGGGTATAATTCGGTGTTGTCGAAGTTAACGCTTTTGCTTGTTAAGACTGACATAAAAAATTCTAAGTTGAAATAGATATTATATAAAAAATTTTATTTTGTTTAAAGCTGTATTTAACACTTAAGTGGTATTAATCTGTAATTGGCTTGGCCGAGTAAAAAATATGACTGCAACTTCATTGTAGAGTCACTGAACTGAAAATCAGTCGTATAAATTAATAATTTTAAGGTCCAAGGCCAAAAGGTTAACAGCTTCTCTTTTATACTCTTGCAACATGTTGCCACAGAGTATAAACGTTTTGTTCACCTAACGGTTGTTTGTATCACCCAATTCTAATGCGAGATAGATACAGGTTTATATATACTATATAAATGATCAAGATGAAGCGACGAGTTGAAATCCAGGTGACTGTCTGTCCGCCTGTGTAAGCTGTAACTTGATTTAAAAAGAGATATCTATATAGAACTTGGTACACGTGTTCCTTGGCAAAAAAGGAAGGACGAGGTTGTAGATAGGCGCAATCGAAAACCTATATATTACTTTAACTAATCCGCAAATTAAGATACAAAACTGTAAATTGGTCCAACGAATCGCAATAACGAAGGGCACCTGTGGTTGGCAAATTTTTAAAAAGTGGGCGTGACCCCATCCCCTATTAGATTTAAAATATATTATCTCCCAAGCCATTCAAGCTATAGCACCCAAATTTACACAGGACAAATCATTTTGACACCTCTTGCGACAGTGTGAAAATAGCTGAAACTGCAAAAAATCAATAACTAAATGCATCAGATACATTAAATTTTACATCTTGGATGGTAAAAGAGGGCTTTATTGAAGCAGGTGTCAAAATTGTACGACGGGTGGGGTCTCACCTACATTTTGGCGAAATCAAATATCTTCTGACCAACTTCACCAATTTCAACCAAATTTGGCACATAAGATTAATTTAACATTCTCAGTTATTTACTGTGCGAAAATGGGCGAAATCGAATTGAAACCACGCCTACTTCCCATATAACACAATTTGATATTTTCACTTTCCAGTGTACAAATCAAACACCAATTAATATATCGGGATACAAATTATCACGAATATTGCGTTTAAGGTATGCCATCTCAAGTCTAAAAATTGTCGAAATCGGACCTTAACTATTCAAGCCTCAGATATCGGAAATGTGGATACCGAAAATAGCGGTCAACATGTGAGATACAATATATCATTAAAATTAGGAAAGAATCCTTTCCTGATAATATTATGTATGCATGTCAAAAATCGGTTGAATAAGGTCAACATTTCCTTAGCCCCTTGTAATTGTATCTAACGAAAACTGTTGACTCTCCGCAAAATTATATTTTAATAAAGGCAAATATTAAATAAAAAAATCAATAAATGACTTAATTATTAAATGAAATTACTTGTTAGACTGTGATTTAAATAAATATAATATTCATCAATTATTTAAAATGCCTCAAATCGAATGCAGAGAATTTACAGCGAAATTGCTGCAGGTAGATGAAGTTATAACATACAGTGGAGGATGCGATTAAACATTTTGTCTAAAGTGATTTAAGAATTTCATACCTAATTGTAAATATTTTCGCAAGATTCCTTCTACCGCATTCAACACCTAATTAAAATGTAAAAAATAGTTGAATTTAATAATTTGTATATTGTTTTAAAAAGTTTATGTACTTACGAGTTTGAAACCACATGTGCGCAAACAAGCCAAGAATGAAAATATGATTTTAAGGCTACCATCCATTTAAGCCACCTATATGTTAAATAATAGGTTAATTACCCTACAGTGCTATCACAGATTTCTCTTAAGGTTTCTATGAGTTTCTTAAGGCACATTTGACATTTCTAACCGAAACTCTTTTATACGTGTAATCCCTTTCTTACGCATTGGGCTTATGAGTTGTACGGTGTGTATGTGTTAGTTTCCGCGTTAATTCCTTCAATGTATTGGAATGTCCGTAGCTGCGATTTGTTGTGTTGTTATCCAAAATTAGACTTCACATTTGGTATTACCAGATAATATCAATATGTAGCTTTATTAAGCGAAATTTTGCGTTTATATCAAATTTGTTGGTAAGTCTAGCCGTCGATAATTAAAATAAACTATCAATATTGAGATGGATATTCTTATCGATTGTTTGCAGTTCTACATCAAGGGCAGGTTGGTCGACATTGCTTTGTACTGTCACATGTCTAGAGGGAGCCTTATGAATAAAGAATATGCGGTAGGTACTTTTTTCGACATCGAGGGAGTCTTCAATAATGTGCGGTCGGAGGCGGTAATAAAATTCCTCGAAAAGTTCTGGTAGAATCGAGACTCAAGCATCTCATATGTAGTTTTCATTGTAGTATTGGATTAGGGTAGCGCACGTGCATCACGAAAGTACAATAGGGGCACTTGCTGGTAAATAACGCACTGAAAGAACTCGAAAAGCGTAACAAAAATTAAGGGTAAATGGAAAATTTGTAACTTGGCTTAGCCGTCAACCCAAGTAAAAGTGAAATTGTTGTATTTACCAGGAGGCATAAATCTCAGATGTCCCTCTCTCCTCATTTGGAGGTACACGTCTTCAAACTGTTGACAAGGCGACGTACCTGGGGCTTATCCTTGATAGAAAGCCTTAATGGAGGCCAAATATTTTGGAAACAGTAAGGAAGGTATAGGTTGCCCTTTACTGCTGTAGTAAACTATTGGAAACAGGTGGGGCATTTTACAAAAGTGGTTTCTCTCACCAAAATTTGAGTTTTAGCTCTACGAAACCGTAGTCAAGTTGTCAAGTCAAAAATGTTTTATAAAGTATTCGTTATGCTTGAAGGCTTCGACTACTGCGTTGCAGAGTCTTTTCTTGGCGGCTCTCTGCCCACATACTGACATGGGATATGTGGACGCAGCTTTGTCGCTGAAGAAGAGACACATAGAGCTTTTTTACGGATGGGTTGAAGCTCGGTGGAAGGGTTGGAGGGGAAGTTTTCAGGCAAAAAGAGCTGCCAATAAGGTAACAGTAGACGTATTGCTCCGAAGTGTTACTTAATTTAGGAAAATTAGCACTTATTCCGACAGCACAATGACAATACTACCGTTGAACTCGCTCACAGTGCGCTCAAATTTAATTGAGGAAGGGTCTATTCTAACTACCAATAGCATTAAGCTACCTCATTATCCGACTACCTAGTTATGCTGCCGAAACTGATTTTAGCCTCCTCAACATATTTGTGGCAATTTTTTGAATTATGAGGGTATTTATGATCAATATATAGGATTTTTACGTAACTCAACGGACCGACGTTCAAAGCTGTCCACGTGAGATGCCTGTTGATGCCTATAACTGGATAGGCCCTTTAACCTAACCTGGCTAATCAATAGTTTTTTTTGAAGAAAACAAACTGATATTTAAAGGAAAGTATTCACTTAGATTTAGCAAAATCTTTAATCAAAAGAATTTAAAAATTATTTGCATATTTACATACATATGTATCTTATTACAGCTAGTATCTTATACGTTTTTGATATTTTCTGTACAAATCTCATTTTATATAACGGGTGATCCAAGTAGAGGTACTTTTTTAATAGCCTTTTTTTGACAGATCACGCGTGAGTCGGGTTAAGCTGCCATGTATTTTTGTTCAGTATTGTTTGGCATTTTATTATAATAATAATAATAACCCAATGATTACCATCCTTCCACCGAACCAACGCAAGTGGCGCAACCCGCATACGTGCGGAATTAGCCGAGTCAGAAAATGCAAGCGAGTTTTTTAAGTGTTGAGATCTTAAACTGCTCTGCTACAGAAACAAAAATTTCATGAGCTAAGATTTATAGTTACGATATAATAAATGGTTACACTTTTATTTTATTTACATAATGTGCTGGAATGAGAATTAAAATCTTGACATATACGGCGGAATGGTTCATTTTGTTCGAAATTTGATCTACAGGATTTTAACAGTAAAGGTCTAAACTGCCTCGAAAAGCGAACCGGGATATTAAATTTTATTTCAGATAGGAGAAAAGAACTGCGAACTGTTCCATTCAAGATTTTCACTAAGATTATTATGCCAAGCATTTCCCTACAACTATAAAGTGTAGGTAGATTTATAAGTTTTAAACGACTAGTGTATGGAGCTTGACTTACCTTAATTATTATAACATTTTTTGTTTAGGTGGAAATACTGTCGACGCAATACAGAATATTTAGAATAGTCGACAAGTGAACGCGTGTCATTCGCCAGTTACCAGCCGAAATGCTCGAATGAGTCATCGAAAATTGGATAATCTTCAAGAAATAAATGCCAAAGAATGTTCTTTCGAATGATAATAAACATTGGTTATTTTCTTTAAAAAAATAGGGAACCTCGAAATGGATCACCCCTTACATACATACATGTGTACATATGTTTAATATTTTGATTTTGAGCAGTCTGTTGATAATTGCCGACATATACGTAAATTAGTAATTTATAAATATGTATACTTATGATTATTATAATATTATATGTATATGTACACATTAATTATGAAAGATACCATATGCTAAATCAGTAGTTTAATTAGAACAGTTCGATTCGAAAGTTTGATGATAATTTAAACACATTTGCCATTTTGTGCAATAAATACTGCAAATACAAATTCAAATTACTAGATACAAATTCTGCCTCCATATAAATATATATTATTTTCGTTGTTGTCGTCTCATAATATTTGAAAAATCACGAACGTATGGTGTATATTTAATTGAACTGACAACGCCAAATATAGTCAGCGCCCACAACTGGTTAATATTAATAAACAAATCTACTTTTTAATTGTTACTGTTTTAAAGAAAACCTCATGAATTCTTTCAATAGATACAAATTTATATTTTTTATAACGATAAATGTACTATATGTTCCTATAGGGTTAGCGCGACATTGTTACCAACAAGGCAACGCTTAACAAAATTTGTATTGCGTATGGCGACCGGTTACTGATGAACAACAGTTGTCTACTTATACGAGTATATTCTTATTACTTATCTTGCTAACCAGTTTCAGGCAAGCCATTGTTGTATGTAAGAAACGTAGTTTTACTTTAATTTTTTTTAAAAATAGTTAGATTTTTTAAATCGGTTCATATTGTAAATAATGTTTCAATATTACAAATACTCAAAAATGCAACTTATAACATTTGGTTGATGGAATGCTCCGAAATGTAAACCGTTTTATGCCGCTTTCATATACACACATACATCTGATTTAACTTTTGACATTGCGCAGGTATACTAGAGAACATCCTGCAAGAACAGTGACATTCATTTTATTAGTAATTTGACAGACCCAGCTAAAAAAATTTTGTCAGCGCGCAGTACAAAGTTTCTACAATTTTCTTAAGCGCGGTGTGCAAACACTGATGTAAACAAACGTATGCGTGTGAGTTTGCATCTCTCTCTCACTCACATCGGTATTCGGAATTGATTTTCTATATACCTGTACTGCTCACCTATTCCTTTACTGAGTCTTTGCTGACCATAAATCCATCAAAGCTGAAAATTGTCTGTACTGACTGTTAACCTATCATAGTTGAAATTTGTCTGTTATTATTGTAAATCTATCACAGATTAAAAATTCTTTTGCGCTGTAGATAATGTAAGTTTGATTTCTTTAATAAATTCAAAACTTTTAATTAAAATAAATTGTAGGTATGTACATAAATATTAGAAAAGAAAAGCAACAAAAAATGTAATTAAAAAATTAAATAAAAAATTATTTCCCATGATTCAGTCCTTGGCTCTTCAAAGAAGCTCTGCGTGCTTCTTTCTTCAATTCATGGATATTTCATAATGTAAAAATGCCTGAATAAAAATGAAAATTAAATAAAAGTATATATTATATAACACTAAAAAACTCCTCTCTTTTATTAAAATTTATTTTAATGTTTATGAACAGAAAACACAAAATAGTTAAGGCTGTTTCTTCGCTTCGTTGTTTAAGTATGAATTGCTAAGCAAAGCGAGTAAAGTTGTATATGAATGGGCCATTTTTGCACAGAATTATGGAACACTTTTGGTTTCGGAAATCACTATATTGGGGTTATCTGAACTGTAGACCTGATTTTACATTTCGACACAAAGGAAATTATTGTTAGAAAAAGGGGGCCTTTGAATTTCTTTAAGATAATTCAAATATAGACTGGTGTATTCTGTATAAAGTCAGTGAGAAATTAGAAAAATCTTATATTAGGTATTGGAGGAATGGACTGTATAAAGTCAATGGGAAATTCGAAAAATTGTATATTAAATATAGGAGGACATTTTTTACACAAAATTTATAGTTCCATTCCGGTCATTTTTGGATAAAAGGTGCAACATAAGAATACCGGAATAATTTAGTAACCCCACGTTTGGTTGAAATTATTCATGAAGTCCTGAAATATGAAATTTCAACTTAAAACAGGCGGTGCCAGGCTCACTGCTCAACTGTTTCACTGCAGTTCTTCCGTGCGATATCGGTTGTAAAATTTAATGCTTCTGATATATCTGGTTAGTTATCGCACTTTTAGTAAGCGTGGTTATAACCAAATTAAATTTTTTTTACGCTGTATGAAGATGTACTAGAAGGACTTGTCGCCAACGAGTTTGGTCGATTTTGATTCAATGGTTGTGCGTGGTGTGGACTTTAAATTTATTAGAGACTCAAAACTTCGATACGCCTTAATAACCGTTTTAAAATAAACTTACGGCTTAGTTAAAACACTTTATAAACTTTTGATTAACGGCATTTTGTTAGCGTGCCAATGATTCGATTTTTCTCATCTGCACCAACCGCTCTGCCATGGATTATGTGTAGTAAGATATATTGATGAATATTAAAATTTTTACTCAAGCATGGTCAAAGAGACATAACAAATTCAACGCATCTCATCTTCCTGATCACATTGATATACTTATACATAACTTTATATCTAACTCGATTAGTTTGAGGTGTTACAAATAACAGTTAGGTGAACGAAACTAATATATATTGTACATTCAGATGGTGTGGCTCAAAATAAGTTGAAAAAATTCAGTAATTAAGGTACCAACTTGTAATATAATGATAATATTATATTGAATAAATTGTAAAGTTATTTTTAAAGCTCAATAATCTAACTATTTACATATTGAGTTTTCTTAATTCGCTCTGCAAAGTGGGTTACGTATTCCATATATGACATTAAATTACTTAACTTAAGATATTTACAAATTCATACATGTGTGTGTATATATATTCCAATTTACAATTAGAGTGTGTCTTTTCTATTCTTTCCCTGAATATCTTTACCATATTTATTGTCCTCGTCACAGGAAATACATTTAATTATAATTCGTTTCTGATCAGCTCCGCTTTTGGTTGAAATATAAACTGGAGAACTGTCATTTTTGGCTTTCTCTTGTATGCAGTCCACAACGATTTTATTCGGGGTTTTATCCATGGTGATCCTCTCGCGAAGTGAAGTTTGCGCAACCTGTATCTGTGTCTCCATTGTGCTACGTTTCCAAATATTTTTGCCCTCTACTAATGTAAAAAGAAGAAGAAGAAGTAAAATATTAAAATTGTAATACAGTTCACATATGTTCATGGCATAACGATAACAACAGTAAGTTCAAAATGTTAGACCAGTTATTTATTTCAAAAACTTAATTTATTTTATTAAAAGTATACTTTACGGTAACTAAAACATTATTTAATTAACAGAGTTTGTTTGCTAGATTTTTAAAATCGGGTGTCAGTGGTACTAGGAGTGACTAAGCTATAATGAGGTGGAATAATCTTGGGATACCTTCCACTATTATGCAAGAGTTTTTTTGTCTAGTTGAATTTGTTAGTTTTGATTGGATGCAATTCATAGGAGTTTACAAATACTGCTTTTTCACGAATATTCGCGACCAGTTTTGACAATACTTCCCAACTGCGTGCGAGAATTATTGACATGAAATTGTTAGGTGGTTGAAAGCGGAAAGACCCTCAAACAAATAGGAAAACATTAACATAAGTAGAGGTCAGAGGAAAAATATGTAACTTTAAATTTTGCCTTAAATGGTTGTAGTAAAAAGTTAGGTGGAGATTGGTAAATCTATATGCGTAAAAAAGAAAGTCGTCTATTTATAACTCAAGCACGGCTAAAATTGGTGGGGAGGTAGCTTAGAACCAGTAATCAGAACATAGGTATATGTTTATTATCCCGTTCTCGTGGGACGTGACATTAAAAGTAGTATAACAAAACGTATCTAACGTAACTGTTTGTTCAGAGTAAACTTCTAAACTGAATCCTGAATGAAAACAAATAAGGAAGGGTTAAGTTCGGGCGTAACCGAATATTTTATACTCTTGGAACTTGCAAGGATCAAAGCCGCCAAAATGCCTTCAGGTGTTGAGAAACCTTTATATTAAATGTTGCGAAAGAATTTAACATTCATTATTCGACGAAATCGTGAATGGATTACAATCCAATTTGTATCTTATGAACTTACATTCATTAAGATACCTCACACACCATCACCAATGCCATATATTATATAAAGAGTAAAGTCAATTAGGTGTTAGAAAATTTTAATATTAGTTATGTACAAGTATATAGGTGCTACAGAAAGTTTTCACCAAATTTTTTCCATTTTAAGCACAAAGATACATTATTAGAGAAACAGGCTCAGGCAGGTAAAAGATCGAGATATTGTTTTCCACTAAATGTGTCATCATTAAATTTTGATAGCGACACCTATAAAGCCTTCTCCTATCATCTCGGTTGAAAATTTTATGCCTCTGATGCATTTATTTATAGATTTATCGCACTTTTAGTATATATTAACAAAACCGTTATACAAATTGGGTTATTATAGCCTGCTGTTATCATAAAAAGATGTGGATATCTCTCCGTATTTCAATAATATATCTCAAAGATTAACTGATTATTCGGTTCGGTTCGGAAAATCAGCCATATGCACCGCGGTCCACATATCCGGTATCTGGGGGCTTGTAAAGTTATAGATCAATTTTGACAATTTTTAGTCATGAGGTAGCATAAGGTATGTAGGTATAGTATGTAGTATGTAGTATTTCTGCAAAGTTTTATACCGCCGTATTCATTGCTACTTGATTTACATACAGGAAGTGAAAGAATCAGATGGAATTTAAAATTGTGTTATACGAGAAGTAAGCGTAGTGGTGATTTGATTTCGGCCATTTTCACAATATAAAATAAAAATCTCAAAATACATAGTGTTATATACCGGATTTAGTTAAAATTGGTTAAGTAGGTCATGAGATATAGAATGTCACCTAAAGGTGAGCAGTGTCAGTCCCGTTGTTCAATTATGATACCAGCTCGCATAAGTAGTTTTCAACATAATCTTTATATGGGGAGTGGGCGGAACTTTTTCCCGATTGTACTCTGTGTGGGAGGAAGTACCAAAAGGATTTGTCCTAAGCTTATATGTGTAATAAAGCTGTAACGGTTAGTGAGATTTGTACGAGGACATTAAACAACCGAACTTTTTGCGACATCAAGGAACACGTGTACCAAGTTTCACCAAGATATCTCAATTTTTACTCCAGTTATAGCTTGCACGGACAGACGAACTCGTCGCGTCATCCTGATCATTTATATATAAATATATATGTACATATATAACTGCAATTAGTTTAAGGGGTAACAACAACAGTTAGGTAAACAAAACTGTAATACTACAATATATAGCAACATGTTGGAAGAATATAAAAATGTATTATGAACCTTTAATAGTTTTTTGAAAACTGTTTTTATTAGCAATTAAATTCGGGGAATCCGTCTTGCGACTAGCTGCACCATAACAACAACAACATATGATCCTTTGAAAGTACAATCGAAATCTAAACAAACAGGAACAAAAAGCGTTAATAATAAATTTATGTTCAGCCTAAATCTTGTTACCTTTTATTCATCCAATAGTATATTATTGGATTTACCATGGCATTCGACATAGCTAACCAGTAGAACCCCAAGTACATATGTTGTACGTATTTGGCGGATGTGATATCGTTGTTGTGGTAGGCATATATGAAAAACATATGATATGGCAACCAGCATATTGCGAATATTAAAACGATGGCGATAAACATCCGTACTACTTTTCTTTTCGACTTCATAGACTCCATTTGACGATCAATGTTTTCTCCAATAGAACGACTTCCCCTAAAATAATACAGATGGTTACAAAAGATTGAAATACACATATGCAAATATAGCAAGAAATATTTGAATACCAGAGAACACGACCCATCAAGGTATAGCATATTAGCATGACAACCATTGGAATGCCATATGTGAGTATAAGGATTATAATGTTGTAACTGCATGTCAAAAATATTTGGGTTATTAAAAAGATATATATGTATATATATATATATTAGTTAAATTCAATACGTACGCATAATCTGATATCGATGTTGGATAGCGTCCATCTGGCCACAGCATAAAACACACAGTTCTCGATTTGCCATTGTAATATCTGGAAATAATCAAAGGTTTTCAAAATATTAGCCTTAAAAATCTATACATACTCTTTTGTAATGGAATAAACTAATTTTGGAACGGTTCACACCACGGTTCACGGTTTATTGTTTTTTATTTAGATATTATTACCTTTTCGTCATTGTGCTCGAGTACAATAAGCAGGGCGCTGCTAGCAAACAACTAATAACCCATATCAGTAAAAGAATGATCCGTACTTTTCGTCTTGATGTGCGTCTCTTCAAAGGGTGAACAATTGCGAAATATCTTCAAGAAAATTAAATACATTTATTAAAATAACAGGCAATATTTTTTTTAATTGCGTAGAAAATATTATTACAATATTTCATATTAAACCTAAACCTGGTAAAAATGCAACGTTGCAATAATGCAATTTAATATGCTTATAAAATGTTTTTAAATTAGGTCTTTGGCATTTCAACATATTTAGTTTAATTCTTGCCTTCTTCTCCCAGAATTTCAGTTAGACAGAAAATTGTGGAAACTCTTCAGGTAGTTAGCAGATCTTATGTTATCCCTGCGCCATACGCTACAACGGTAATCATTATACACTTTTCAGGCAAACTTAAATACGTGATGGCAATGTTGTATATACATTCGATTTAATAATATAAAAATAATATCTAAAGCCAACATGGTATACAGGAGAGATTCCCTCTTCAAGTTCATATAACTAATCAATTCTAATACTCTTGCAGCATGTTGCTACAGAGTACAATAGCGTGGCACCCAGATTTAGGTGAAATCACTTCCCATAACACAAAGTTTAAATTCCACATGATTATTTCTCTTTCCAGTACAGAAATCAAGCACCAATCAATATATTCGGATAAAACTTTGCAAAAATAGGGCCTTTGAGGTATGCCATCTCGAGTCTAAAAATTGTCAAAATCGGACCATAATGGTCAAGCCGCCACATGCGGAATACGTGGAATCATATGGCTGACTTTTTGCCGAAAATATCGGTCAATCTGAGAGAAATGTTATTCAAACTCGAGGAAAATGTTTCCTTGATATTGATATACCCTTGTGTCAAAAATTGGTTGAATCGGGTCGATACTTCCATTAGCCCATTTACCGAATATAAAGATTTTCGAACTTTCAGTTGACTATATACCATATTAATGGTTTGGCGCTCAATATAAATGAAAATGGTCTTGGTCTAAACTTCATATCCCTAATATAATGAATTCCGACCATTTGGTTGAGGTTTTTCACATCAACTCCATATTTTAAGTTCAGCCTCTTCAGTTGAGTTTACGAGTATATCACATATATGACGGGGAGTAACATACCTATAGTAATAAAATTAAGGGACTTCAAAAAAAGTTAATATGATATCATTTTAATATTGCCAACACCTGATGGTATTTAGCCGGCTTTGATCCTTTCAAGTTGCAAGAGTATGAAATATTCGGTTACACCCGAACTTAAACCTTCCTTACTTGTTTTTTATCTATAACGTCTTGCAAAGGGCTTAATATTTTTGTTCACCAACTAACATTATGAACTTATTTCCGGACGTCGAATTGTTTGTCTATAGGTCTCTCCGCGCAAGAGATACCTTGAGTAACAATTCAGAAATCTTATGAAGCTTGGGCTTAGATTACAAATAAAATTTCGGTGCCTTTGATATAACTTACTTTTAGCATAATGGATTCGGTATTAAAGCTAAGTGAACACGTGATCAAAATTTTTAGTTAACTTTGTAATAATTATTTTAAATAATATTGCCTGTTGAACGTAAAATGATATTTATGGGCATATTTGCAAATTGATATATTTATGTACCATATGTATTCCGTTATGTTATTTATGCATATTTACAGCCTTAACAGTTCAGTTCCTTACCTATCCAGTGATATAGCCACAAGGGTAAACACTGATGTGGAGACGGTCACATTCGCCATGAAATTATTTATTGTGCAGTAAATAGAACCGAAGGGCCAATCTGAATTCAGCATAAAGATGAAATTGAAAACGCAGTTCAATGAGGACATCAGCAAATCCGCTATGCTCAAGTTGAGCAAAAAGTAGTTTGTAACAGTGCGCATACTGCGATGACCTTCAGTATGGACCCATTGGAAGTATTGCATAGTTAACAAATACAAAAACACAAATTATGATTAACATTAATTTAAGTAAATGACACTTTTTTTAAAATTGAAAAATATACAATGAATAAAAAATGTTTGATTAAGATAACGCTCTACAGCCGATGCAACCATATTGAACACACATTTTGGATATTTTCTCTTTCATCACTAATATAGAACCACTATGAGAATTACCATAACAGTTGTTCAATATTTCTTAAGTGGGAAACATTGATTTTAAAACTGCCCAAAAATTCATAAGCAATGAATGAAAAACTATATTATTTTCACCAAGAAAATATAGTATATGCATTTTGTTCTAATACCGATGATCCTTCATCTTTAGAAAACGCTAATATCAGTTTACATCTTCTAAAATGATATTCCCTGTCTAAAATAGCTTTACACTAGCATTACATTGTATTCCATATTCAGTTTCATGATTGTTGTTTAAGTCGGACTTGATCCGTAAAAGCTTTGCTAAGGTTATCTCATCAAACTATTATATAATAAAAAGAAAATGTTATATATATATTTATATACAAATAAATTGTGATATATTGTACACGTAGATTGAAAAGTTTCAGCCCTTGAAATGAAAAAATACTCTATTTGGTATGAAATATATTTTTTTATTCAATCTCCCTTAACTACAATACATATATTCCATTGATCCTCCAATAATCCATCCCTATAATGACTTTCCGGAAGCTTTGCAAAATACCCGTCTTCGGCTGTAGGTGCTTCTTCAATCGACGAAAAACGTTTTCCACGAAGGAATTGTTTCAGGTTTCTGAAGGTTACTAGTCGCTGGGAGTCAAATCTGGTGAATACGGTGGATGCTCCAGCAATTCGTACTTTAATTCGTTGAATTTTGTCATTGTTAAAATATCTTTGTGAGGCAGGTGCATTGTCTTGATTAAAAATGATTTTTTATGCTGGTATTTTTTGACTAATTTTTTTATCCAGCTGATCAAAAAGACTGTAATAATATTCAGAGTTAATCGTATTACCTTTTTGCAGATAATCAATCAGCAAAATTCCATTTGCGTCCCAAAAAACTGACGCCATAACCTTCTTTGCTGATCGTTGGGACTTCGCCTGCTTTGGAGCTCAACAACCAGCTTCAGTCCACTGTAAACGTTCTTGTTTCAATTTAGGATCATGGTGGTAGATCCAAGTCTCATCCATAGTTATATACTGAGAAATTTGTTTTTGATCCAGTTTTTGTTTAATTGTTAACATGTGCGGCACTAACTTTCCCAACAGCTTTGTCATATGTAATTCTCCATGTGAAATATGAAGTACTCGTTTGTCTGATATGCCTATGGTATTAGCAATTGCACGCATAGTCAAACTTGGATCTTCACTTACAATATTATGAACTTGCTCATTGATTTCTGGCGTGGTTACGGTTTTTGGTCGTCTTTCGCGTGGATCGTCTTCAAGCCTAGTACAACCACGTTTAAATTCACCGGCTCTAAATTCAACGATGCGTTTTGAATGTGAGGACTCCTTATACACTTCTAACAATTGTTCATTAATTTCCTTTGCTTTTAAACCTTTCAAAACAAATAATCTAATCACTGCGCGATATTAAATTTTTTTGCATATTAAAAGCTTGTAAATTTGGAGCTAGTAGTGCTATTTCTTGGTGAAAACAATCAACTTTTCAACTGTATGTATTAGGGTGTCCCAAATTATTTATTTCTCGAAAATTAAATCGCATACCCTCTATTTTTTTTAAATGACCTTATTACTGTAAATAAAAAATATTATTGCATAAATTTTTGTATTGGAAAAATGCAAGAGATTTTTAGAAGTTTAGTTTTATTTAGTTAATAAAAGACTAATAAGCCCAAAACATAATATTATCCAATATTATACATAAAACAACATTATTATACAAGAATTTTTTTCTCTTTCACCATGTTGCTACTGAGTATAATAGTTTTGTTCACCTACGAATGTTTGTATCACCCAAAACTAATCGAGTTAGATATAGCGTTATGTAAATGATTAGGATGCAGAGACGAATTGAAATCCGGGTGACTGTCTGTCCTTGACTTAAAATTGAAATATCTTGATTAAACTTGATACACATGTTTCTGGCTGTTGTAAGACCATTGGTATTGGAGAGGGCCGTAATCTGACCATTGCCACGCCCACAAAACGAGATACAAGACTGTTATTTGGTAGGTCACATTAGGGAGGGACATCAGCTGTTTACATTTTTTTAAAGTGGGCGTGGCCCCACCCTTTAATAGGCTTATCTCCTAAACCGCTAAAGCTATAAAGCCAAAGTCATTTGGGACAAAGCCAATAAGCCCCCTTTCGACAGTTTAAAAATGGGTGAAATCGGGTGACCCCGCCCACTCTTCATATAATGGATTTGCTTAAAACTACTGAAATTGCAATAATTTATTAAATAAATAAATCAGAGACGTTAAATTTTACACATAGTATGGTAAAATTAAGCTTTGAAGGGGCCAAAACAAATATTGTACAATGGGCATGGCACCACCCACCTTTAGGTGAAAACCCATATCCCCTCCTCGACCGATTTCATTTCAAATTCGGTAAATTATCACTGAGAATAATTTTCCAACAAACTGAGCAGTCACAAACTCTTTCATCTATTCTTAAAATCAATTGGATTCCGCATGTTCATCGCGTTTTTCTGCGCGAATTCATTGAATTGAGGACTTATTTACAGAAAACTTGCGAATACTGATATTTATGGTACACTGGTAAAACTTGTTTATTAAAAGAAAGTTTTGATTCAGTTATTTTTCCTAAAAATGCGTAGTTCCACTGACATGTTTTCCAAACAAAAAATATGGTTTAATGTATAAGAAACACAAATTATAACATGCATGGCGATAGTTCATGTTTGTCGGCTGTGATAACCAAGTATTGACAAGTTCCGATGCAAATCGGCACAGTTTAACGTAATCCTACCTACACCAAATTTAGTTTCCAATTGTTTCAACATGATTCAAACAAATTAGAAGGGCATGCGCTTAAAAACAAAACTGTAATTTTTTTGAGACACCCTATATATATATACATACTTTATATCTTTTTCCTTCTCCTGCAAAATTATAAAAAGTGATGCTACGTTATATTGCATTTTAGGGGCCGATATATGTGAAAAGTGCGTTTATAATTTGAATTAATATTGAATCTTTAGTTTTAAATCGAGGAAATGGTATCTAGTATGTAAGTCTTACCAGCAACAATCCACAAAACAATGCAGTTTCCGGCAATTGCTACAAACAGCATCATACCAAAGATAATTGCCCAAATAGTTTTTTGTTCCCATGGCAATTCGTACGGTCTCGTCGGTGACGGAAATAAGCATTCGGTTAAAAAGTCCCTGTGAAGACAAATTTTTATTCATAAAAAGTATATTCAAATTTATGTCGAACTATAACATTATGTCAAATGAGAAATATTTCATTAATTTCTAGTTTTATGCTATCATTGATTTGTTTTGTTCATCTAACCGGCATTTGTAATACCTAAAACTAACCGCGATAAATACAGTTATATATATCAAAATGATTAGGATAATTACTCGTCCATCCGATGATTGCCACGGCTACAAAATGCCTGTAAAAAAACGTATAAAGTGCCATAAACCCAAATTAGAATATAAAACTTTAATTTGATACGGGGGATTGCAGTAGTGAACGGCGCCTATGAATTGAAAATTCTTAAAAAATGGGTATGTCTCTTTACAGTTGTAATATGCATACCTCCCAATCCACTAAAACTATTTCAACCAAACTTTCTGAGAAGAAGTCTCATATGCGTCATAGACATTTAATTTAGAACATTAAAGGAATAAAGTGACGCAACTGCTTGACACATTGCAAAAAAATCGGACTATCTGGACCGTCTGGCAATATATAATATAATGCTTTCAACAAACCGATTTCGCCCCCATTGTCAGTAATTGAATACCCTTATAAGCAAATAGAGTAGCATTCAAAATTATTCAGCAAAATGTAGTTTTGGAAGCAATGAAACCATTGTATTATGTCGCCTTGCCAGTATTGCTTCACGTCACAGAAAGGTTTAGAATGAAATATATTTCCAACTACTATACTACAAAATATTATTGAAAATCATTTTACAACTTTAGGTTTAATTGTATAGAACTAGATTTTCAAGTCCATTAAAAAAATACATTTTTCCTTAGAGCTATAAATAAAATTACACTCAATACCGGAAAAGAAATTCTTTAGTAAAACTTTTAAATCGCGATCCGTTTATCAAGAGCGTTTAGAGAGTGTTTTTTAAATCGTGTACACAGTTTTGAAGTAAATGAACCATTGTATACTATTACATTTTATTTGTTAGAGTCACTTTTTAGCATTAAAAACTGTATAAAAGATTCTATTAGGTTTCACTGCTTATTTAATTCTTCGCGTAATTCGGATTGGTAAGGCCAAGGTGATAGCAAAGGTTAAAAAAAATTACTGTCCCAGTTCGATTCAATTTAAATATACTCGTATATGTATGTTCTTTGTAAACACCAACTTGGTGCCAAGATAATTGACATCAATATAATTTTAACACTTATTATGTTATCTGTAGTTCAGTACAAAGTAAAACGTGTTGACATGGATGTTTTATATACATATATGGCTACTACATATTGTTTACTGTATCAAATTGGTTAGTAGTTAGTGAACCCAATCGCAAAAATTCACTGTTTATTTGGCGGAAAGATGAAATTTCCCTTAGCCTAGTTCAGCGTTAGCCCGATTCGCTTTGTTTTAACGAGAGAAAGCAATGTACATATATTGAGTAAAATAATATAAATAAAGGTTGTAAATGTTATTAACTCACTTTGCATCATTAATGTTGTCTAGGTTGTCCTTATTCTCTATTATTCCAGAAAGTAGACTGATAACTTCCGAACGATTCAGGCTATTCAATACGGATGAATTTACAATAGTGTTAAGTCCGAAACGCCTGACGGCGAGTATTGTACAATTCACTAGTAGTTCGGTATCCACGATGTCCGACATTTTTGACATTTAACCGTACCTTTACCGCACAACTAAATACTTCGCCTTTTAACTACATATATACTTGTATGTATATGTATATAGAAATGCACACAGTAAACGGCATTTTGAAAGTTCTATAACCTTTCTTTTCATTTGTATAAGTAGGATAACTGTTATTTTTATGTAAAGTGTAAAAGTGAATAAACCAATATACAGTGAAATTCCTCAAAACCGGACACCCACCGTCGTGGTGGTTTTGACCGGCTATAGGAACTGTCAACATATGAGGGCGTGGCAAAACTAATGTTTAAAATATATTTTTATAGTCACAAAAAACAACAGAAGTTGTAATTTATGAAAGCTGTATATTTTACAAAACTATTTGTCTTTAGGAAAGATAAATATATAAGTTCACGAAACGATTTACCAAAATGAAAAATGAATCAACTCTTTTCAATAGAGGTGATCAAAAGCTTTAGACCCGAAGCCACTCGACAACAACATCAATAAATAATCTAAGATCCTATAGCCTAATTCTTCTATTATTTTAAGTGTACTGTACTAGAAAGTTTGCTGCTAATCACGTATCGACCAATTATCTCAGTCGAATTGCAGGTGTCATTGAAAAAGTGCAGTAACTTCTGAAAATACAGGTTAATGCAGTTATTTCTAAATGTCTACACATAAGTATACATATGTTCATACTTATCAAATTAAAATATGGGCGTCGGAGGTAAGTTTGCGTGGATGTTTTATTTTCTATTTAACTTTTATTTTCTCCACTAACTTTGTTTCTCACTTTTGGGTAAATTTTCACTCTTATACGGTTTTGTTCTTTAAAATCCTTCGTTTGTTTTGTCCTTACTTTCGTTACAAAAAAAATATTTTATAATATAAGTCATTATAAAAAACATTTCGTACTTATACATTTATGTATAGAACATATTCTATAAAATATACAGTTATACAGGTACACATGGTTAATATAACTAAAAAATTGTATTGCTTGAAAACCGTACTTGTACTCTTATATTGTATTTACATATATTTGGACGTTACATTAAAAAATTCAAGTAGATATTTAACAAAAAAGCGATTTTGCAATTCTTGGGCATTCATATCACTTTTTGAGTTTTCTACTGTGTATTGTGCTAATAAAAAGAAAATTAAAAATTAATTTCTAATACTTAATAACCAAACAGGATAATAAGGCGCTGTTAGATGACATGTCTATCGTTAGTCTTAAATCTTTGACAATTTCATATTAAATAAGTCTTCTATTCATTGTTGACAGAATAATGATACCAAAGTTTATGATTTGATGATAAAAAACAGCGAGAGCAGAGCAACATGCATTGCTCTCGAGCACCAATTTCTTAGGAATATGTGCGCACAAAAAACACAATTGTAAATACATAAATACAATATATACCTATGTATGGTACGTATGTACTTCAGTATTTATGGAGTAGTCTGCAAGGTGCGTTGGCGTAAATTTTTAAATTTTGCTACTTTATTATTTTAAAAACTTCAACTTCGATAAAATTTTTAGCCATATTTTAGCGGTTTCATCATAAAATCTCTCTTTTATCAACTTTATTATTATATGTGTATATTTTGTATTCGATTTGTGACACTAACTAATATTGTTCTATACATATACCTATGTACACATTTGTAAATACATCACATAATTCACGTTAGAGATTGTATTAATGAATTTATTCGAGTACAAATATAAAAGTTGCACAATTTTTTCTCGAGCAATTAACTTTTTGCTTAACAGAAATTGAAATTTGATAAATGGTATGCATTTTCTGAATGCGGCACAAACGAGTGTCTGTCAAACTTTAACTTTCTACTGAACTTCGCAAATTCGTATTCGTGAGTTCTGACTCTGCTAAAACCTGTGGTCACGCCAATCATAATGGGGCTGTTGTTGAGCCACCTTTTTATGTTCATTTTTATTTTACTCTTGCACATCCCTTAATTCAATGTTGTATTGGCTGAATTTGTTCTCCAGAGTCGAGAGTTTGACTTTCTATACTCTTGCAACATGTTGCTACAGAGTATAATAGTTTTGTTCACCTAATGTCGTTTTGATCACCTAAAACTAATCAAGATAGATATAGGTTTATATAAATATTAATGATTGTGACGAAAGTCTGTCTGTCCGTCAATCTGTCTGTGCAAGCTGTAACTTAAATATATATTAAAATATCGTGATAAAACTTGGTATGCGTATTCATTTGCAAAAATATGGGGTTCATAGATGGCTGTAATCGGACCACTGCCACATCCACAAAACGCCATTAATCCTATAAATTGCCATAACTAAGCCGCAAACTAAGATCCAAAATTGTAATTGAAATTTGCTTAAAAGTGGGCGTGGCACCGCCCCTCATAGGTTTAATGCATATATCTCCCGAACCATTCAAGCTATATCGCTCAAAATTACGCACGACAAATTATTTCGACAACTCTAACGATAGTGTGAAACCTGGCGAAATCGGATGATAACCACCTCCAATCCTCATATAATGGTTTTGTTAAAAACTACTAAAAGTGCGAGTAATCAACAACTTAATGCGTCAGATACATTAAATTGAAAATCAAGGATGAAACAATAGGGCTTTATAGGAGCCAGTGTTAAAATAAGTCGGTGGACGTGGCACAGCCCACATTTAGGTGAAAACCCATATTTCAGGATCTACTCAACCGATATCAACCAAATTTGGTAAGTAATATTGTTTTGACCATCCTATGTTAGAAAGCGAAAATCGAACTACAACCACGCCTACTTCCCTTATAACGCAACTTTAAATCTATCAGATTTTTTCACTTACAAATCAAGCACCAGTTAATTTATTGGGATAGCACTTTGCACGAATAGTGCGTTTTAGGTATGCCCCTTCGAATCTAAATATAGTCAAAACCGGACCATAACTAATCAAGCCCTCAGGTACCGAAAATGTGCACCCCGCTCACAACGTACTGAGTCAATCAATCGAAAAACTGTCAAAGACAAACTTTTAGCGCGAATAAACACGTTTTCAGCGCCGTATAGTATGACATCCACGTAACACTAGTACTATGGACAATAACGCTATCTCTTAGATAAAAACCGAACGAACTTTTTACTTGACCTAATACTTTAGTTTAATGCCGAAAATATGTAAAATTATATTAGACTATTATGTTATTCTAACCAACTTTATTATATTAATGGTTTAGCCCTGAACATGTTTGAAGTCTAGACCTTGGTCTTAATCTCATATCTCTAATATCATGAATTGCGATCTGCTAGTTGACGTTTCGCACATCTACTCAATATATTAAATATAGCCTTTCGGTTAAGTTTATGTCAGATATATCCCTTTTGAGAATGATTTTAGTTTAACTTTCGCTGACGGGAAGTAAAATATAAATATAAAACTAACTGAGTCTATGACTTATAATATAACTTAATAAAATACCAAATTTGATCGTAATTCATTCACGATTTCATCGAATAATGAATGTTGAATTCTTTCGCAAAATTTTTAATATGAAGTTTTGTCAACCCCTGGATATATGCTCCCGTTTTATCCTTGGAAGTTGCAAAAGTATGAAATGTTGGGTTACACCCGACATTTGGCCTTCCTTACTTGTTATATCTTGCAAATGCTTCAGAAACACCACAAACATTTTCATCCTTATATCTTTATTGTTCTTGTGCGCACATAACCTGTTAAGAGAATGCCCGACTACTCGTTGGGAATTTTCGAACGAGCTTCCTATCTATTTACTTTTATAGGAACTTTTTCCATAAACCGGAGAACATACAACACATCTCTCATCTATGTATCTGCCATGTGTTCTATGCACTTACCCTTAGATTATCAACTGGTTGTTTTGTGCTTTCACAAGGAAAAAGGAATGTTCCGATAAATAACTGTAAAAATTCTAGTTGGGCATTTACGTATATATTTATATAATATATAGTATAAATGTATATATTTCAAACAGGAGTATATTTTTTTGAGCAGAGTACATGACCTTGGATATATAATATATTGTACATATTTATATTTACACTCACACACGCATGTATGTATGCATAAGTTGCTAGCTCTCTGAAATGATGAATGACCTGTAGATGATGGCAAACGTCAGAATATTGACGTAGAAACATTATCTTATTTATGTTAACATTTTTCTGCAACAACAGGTGCGAAAAATATGTACGTAGAACAAATAAACTGACGTCTAACCGACTAATAAATGGGTGAATTTGTCAATGTTTTCAACGGCTCTTACTTTGCCCTATCTACTATTAGTTTTCCAGAGTGTCTTTTTTATGTGTTATTGCTATAAGAATCAAGAGCATTCGCTAATAAAAATGCAATAACTCTGACTTAATACGTCGGCAACTTAAATTTTAATTACTACGTTAAAGCCGATATAGAAAATTGTTTTAGCTTCCGTATACGGAATATGAAGATCTCTGTGCCTTCGGTTTGAATTAACCTTGAGATATGAGGGGGATAAGAGGTTTAGACCAATTCTATTCATATTCAGCACTAAACCCCAAAATGTTTAAGAAAATAACATAAACGGTGTAAAGTCAGAAATCACTATATATATAGAGTCCATTGAGGGCAAAGGAAAGTCTGGACTGATTGTTTTAACTTTTGACAATATTCAAAAGCAATTTCATAAATTTATAATTCATACACTGACCGACATATTCGGTCCTTTTAGTAGTTTTCAACATTACTGTTATATAAAGAGTGGGGTGTTATCATCCGATGTCACCCATTTTTCGGCCAAAATTCGGTTCTCCGGTGACTACTGTAAGAGCTCTTCGCACAAAACACGATATTCTCAGATGAGGCCTGTTTCTGGTAGCATGTCTTCATTTCCACTATTGGGGTTTTATTTCATTTTAACATTACGTCGTTCTTATTGGAGACCCTTTATAAAAATTTCAAACATCCGTTTGATTTTGTACCGAATATATCGGTCAATATGTAAAATGGCTTAGCAATATTAGGTGAACGTTTAATATTTAATTTACTATAGTTTAATGCCGAAAATTGAACAACGAAATACCACACCGCTACATCACTTTTGTCAAATTTGGTTTGATACGGGCGATCAGTACGGAAGGGAGAAATGTCGGTGACGGTTTGTGCTATTAAGCAGAGAAAATTTGGTGATTATTTTACCAACCCAAAAATGCTTTTAAAGTGCATTAAGACATCATTTTTTATCTAGTACTGTAGTTTTTAGTACTATACACAGCTGATGGATTGATAAGACTAAAATGTTCACATAATAACGAACTTAAGAGTTTTTTGGGAATCTTCTAAGGTTATTGTTTATTAGTCGGTAAGAATGCATTTACAAATAGTACGGCTATTAGAATGGAAGATAGCGAACCATGGAAAACGATTTATAAATATAAGCAATAAAAGGGAGAATTCTTTTCGAAAAGTTTACAAAGAGTTTTGGTCGCCCAAGCTTATAAATAAACCTCCTTATGAGCATTTTACACAAGTTGGCGATCCAGTTTTGCGCACAAAAGCTGCAGAAGTGCCTGGAGAACTAGTTAACAGTAAAGAGGTAGAACATATTGTTGAAAAAATGATCAAAGTATTACGAAAGTTCGATTGCGTTGGCGTTGCAGCACCACAAATTGGAATTTCGCTTCGTATCATTGTGATGGAGTTTCGGGATGGGTTAAAAGACATATTGCCAAAACCTGTTTACGAAGCAAGGAAAATGAGTACACTACCACTAACAGTAATATATGAAATAATCTTAAACATTTCAATTATTGTTTTATTTACTAGGTTGTAATAAATCCCACATTGACTGTAACAAACTACGAAAAGCATAAACATCCAGAAGGTTGTATGAGCGTTCGAGGTTATTCAGCAGAAGTAGAACGATTTCATTCTGTTCTGTTAAAAGGAAAAAATCTCAAAGGCATAGAAAATGAAGTTGAGTTAAGTGGTTGGAACGCAAGAATAGCGCAACATGAAATGGATCACTTGGACGGAAAGCTTTACATCGACCGCATGGATAGTTCAACTTTTATTTGTACATGTTGGGAGACAGTTAATGTTAAAAGTGGGCGTGTTGAGATACCTTTTTATAAATAAGTTTAGTAAATGTATAGTTTAGGTCCCCCAACTAAGGAGGCCTCAAAAATAATATTTTTTTTTAATTGTCTCGAGCGGAAAGTCAATTTTTTCGTTAATTTATGTATATATTTACAAATGTATTTAAAGCACTTTGCACATATTTTTCAAGTTACTTAGTTGTTGTTGTTGTTGTAGCGGCAAAATCATGAAAAAATCGAAAGTGAAAGAATCCGATGGAATTTATAATTTTGTTTTATAAGGAATAGGCGTGGTTGTTGCCCCATTTCGTTCATATTTACACCCTAATAAAGGTATGTCCGGATAAAGTTGCGCATCGAATTTGGTTGAAATTGGTATAGTAGGTCCTGGGAGAAATTTCACCAAAACGTGGGCGGTGCCTCGCCAACTGTACAATTTTGAACCAATTAAGAACTGTTTACAGTTATTAGTTAAAAGCTTTGAAGTATTTGCAATTAAAACAATTTTGTTTTTAATTTGTTTAAAGTATAAAATCTATTAATTTTAAAGTCACATAATAAATACAGCTTTGAAATACTTAGTTTTCCCGTAACCGTATAATTAATTTTTATAATTATTTTCGCTTCGTTTTCATTGATTTGAGCCATTTTGCATTGTTACGATTGAGAGCTCATACAGTACCACTTCCCTCTATTATCCTTTTGTAATGGCTTCATCGCATTCGGTTCTCATATAGCCCGGAATATAGCAAAGCACTTATGAATGGTTTCTTCACTAAATAAAAAAACAATAATAAAAAATAAATAAGTAAATGAATTTTAAGAATACAATAATTGAAATTTCTAATTTTTTTTAAAAATGAACAATCTGCCTTAATCTTGATCACAAACCCCAATCGATCCAACAACTCACAGTAATATTATATGTATATTGATGGTTTTACCATTTTTTATTTAGCCGATGAAATAATTCCTTCTGAATCCTTCTGATACAAAAGTGCGCTGAAACTCGTTATTATTATTTTTGATCAGTGTTAGATTTTCTTTTGAATTTCGAACACGTTGTCGTTTTGAACGCTGTTCAAAAAACACGACAGAAACCTCGAACACTGTTTATTTTTGAAAATTCATGACGTTATATAGGATTATTATATATATTAATTAACTCATCCAATTTAGTTGTACGGCCTCAAAACTTGAAAATTTTACGATGTTTTCTGGCGTTACTGACTCTTGTGGCTTTCCTGAAGAGGGTGGATAACTAGTACTTGACTTTTGAGGATGCTGAAGCAGTTTTGACGTAACACTTACCAAGCTATTGCTTCGCATCAACAGTGTTTTCCCTATCAGGAAACAAAGTTTATTGCAAAAACGAAATTCACTTTTCAATCAAGTGTAAATTCTCAGATATTCTTTGATGATCAAATGTAATTATTTCTTTTGATTGAAAACTTAGTTCAAAATGAACGCAAGAGCATTTTAACATTGCATGCATATATATTTATTATATATATATATATATATATAATTTATTTTATAGTACAAATGGTCATCTCATCGACAAGCTGATAAGAAATTTTGGCTCCCACCTAGAATAATCCTTCAATTTCTCCAGTTTCAGTGTTCAAATCAATGTCGTATATTGCAGGACGAGTTGAAAGTCCAGGCATTTTAGAGATTTCTCCACACATAGCAACAATAAACCCAGCTCCTGCTGAAACGTACACATCTTGAACAGTCAGAGTGAATCCTTTAGGCGCTCCCTTAATGGCGGCATCGCCAGTTAATGAGCCGGAAGTTTTAGACATGCATACCGGTAAAGTGCCGAAACCCTTGAAAATAATTAGAGATAATTACAGACAAATATAAGGTATTTTAAATAATACAATTATTTTACTTACAGCAGCATTCAGTTTTTTCAAAGAATCCACAGCTTTTTGAGTTAACTCAACTTTCGCCGCTCCATACATGTTTTGTGCAATTATGTTCATTTTAGCCTCCAGATGTAAATGGATATCATATAATAATTTAAATCCATTTGGACCTTCACACGCCTTTATCACTGCATCGGCAAGCTCGGCAGCACCTTCACCTCCATCGCTCCAATGCGTACAAAGAACAGCTGCAAAAGCACCGGCTTTCAAAGCGGCTTGCTTTATGAGATTGTGTTCAGTATCCGTGTCGGACCTAACAATGCACATACATTTTTTATATAATTTTAATTGGCATATTTAATCAGATGGTATAACATACGTGTGGCGATTAATGGCTACTATAACTGGAAAACCGAATTTCTGACCATTGGAAATGTGTTGAAGAAGGTTAGGTAAACCTTTCTCAAGCAATTCCAAATTTTCTTCGGTATATTGTTTATTGAGCGGAGCTCCTGGGGTGACTGCAGCTCCACCACCATGCATTTTCAGAGCACGAACTGTAGCTACTAGCACCATTGCATTTGGTTTGAGACCGGAAGAACGACATTTGACGTTACAGAACTTTTCCATGCCGATATCAGAACCAAAACCAGCTTCTGTACATACGAAACCTTTTTCACCCACCAATTTCAGGCCGATTCTGTCAGCAACAATTGAGGAACATCCATGCGCAATATTTGCAAATGGACCAGTGTGTACCAGAACAGGTGTGCCTTCTAAGGTTTGCATTAAAGTAGGCTCCAAAGCATCCTTCAGCAGAACGGTTAGTGCACCAGTAACGCCTAGATCATCGGCAGTGACAGGTCTACCCTTGCGATCGAATGCCACTACCATGTTTGCTAGCCGCTCCTTCATATCCTTCATGTCTGCAGCAAGTGCCAGCACAGCCATTATTTCACTAGCAACTGAGATGGCAAACGAAGATTTACGAGTAAAATTCTTTTCGGAGGGCGATTGACCAATTGTTACTTCACGTAAATACCGATCGTTAATATCAATGACGCGTTCCCACATAATCGTGTCGGTATCGATATCCAAACGTGCAAACCGGCTTTGTTCTTCTGGTGTTAAAGAATCAGGATCGGTTTTCGAAATCCCCAATCGCTGTAAACGGCGTAGTTGTATTTTCGAAAATTTACGCTGACCTTTAATTCGTGGTACTAGCCGATCGTACAGCGATTGATCTTTTTGGGTATTTTCATGGAAAATACGGGTATCCAATTGGGCGGCAAGCAAGTTATTGGCTGCCGAAACAGCATGGATATCACCAGTTAAATGCAAATTAAATTCATCCATCGGAATGACTTGTGCATAGCCACCGCCTGCAGCTCCACCCTTAATTCCAAAGGTGGGTCCTTGTGAAGGTTGTCTCATGCAAGCAATTGCGTTACGTCCCTTATGGGCACAAAGTGCTTGAACAAGACCAATCAATGTTGTACTTTTACCTTCACCCAGAGGAGTGGGTGTAATACTAACAAAAATAAAAATAAAAACAAAAACTTTTACAAAAATTAAAATTTGTAAGGGGAAATAAAATACTAACCCGGCTACCACTATGTAGGAACCATCAGAACGACTCTTCAAACGATCTACCGTACTCAAAGATATTTTCGCTTTTTTATCTCCATAAAGAGAAACCTCTCTACCTATCAACCCAATCTCTTTAGCCAATTTGGAGATATGTTTGGGTTTTTGGGATCTTGCAATAATGATGTCTCTGTAAGCATATATGTATACATAAGGTGTTACAGTAATACAATTTCCAAAAAACCAAAAACACCTACGATGGCACAGGTCTAACTTTAACAAAGGTAAGCGGTGCCAAATCCCATGTGGCATGTACTAGTTTTTCAGCAGCCGACAAAGCCGAACGAACAGTGTTTTTCAGAAGCATGGCTACAGTCATAGGTCCAACGCCGCCAGGAACTGGAGTAATAAATGAAGCTACTTGTTTTGCCTCGTCAAAAAGAACATCACCAACCAGCCGCGAGCCTCCTTGTTTGGTAGAATCTGAAACATTTACAACATTTACTTCACTTGATTAAGAGCAGATTATTATTGAAAAGTTCATAAATTATGGAGTCACGAGGAGTTGCTTACGTAAATACTGACCCGGGGGCCAAACAACTTGAACTGATAACAAATTAGACTAGTCTCCCAGGGAAAACATACCGTATGTGTTGAAGTGATTTTAAATCTATAGAGTATTTATAAAATGAAATGTAAACGTGCATACATATGTGATGATATGCGTATTGTGAAAGACTTTTTTTTTAAAATAGATCTAATGTAATGACCAGAATAACAAAATAACAGAAAATATTTAAAAAAAAAAGAAAAAATATGATTTGCAATTAGCTCTAACATTATATAATTTTTTTAAACTAATAATGGTTAAATATAATTCTCACCTTATTTCTAGTAGATAGTTTATATATGGGAAAAGTAAAATAATTTAGGACGATTGAAATTGAAAGTAAAGTGCTTGTTCAGGAGGCGTTTTTCAAAAAAAAAAAAAACAACTTGTAAAATAACGGACACTCTAATATACATACATATACGAATTTATTTACCTGGTTTTACATTAATGCCACAGTCAATAACAACAGCTCCTGGTTTGATCCAGCTACCCTTTACCAGTTCCGGCACACCAATGGCAACGACTAGAATGTCGGCGTTTAGGCACTGGAATAAATATTTTATAAATATACCATTACATTACTTAAATATCTGACGAATTTCGACTACAGGAGAAACGCAAGTACAAGTAAAACAATTTTCCTTTACTGATAAAAAAAATATTTAAATCTTTGAATGTAATTTCAAAATATTATTTTGTTCGAATATACTCACAATTTGTTCAAGGTTTTTGGTTTTGGAGTGGCAAACGGTCACTGTGGCGTGCTCCCATTTTAATAGCTGTGACACAGGTGTACCAACGATTTTGCTTCTACCCAGGACAACAGCCTGTGCCCCTGAAATTTGGACACCCGTGCGTTTAATCAGTTTAATACAACCCCATGGTGTACAAGGCAGATATCCATTTAAATCTCCGATAGAAACACGCCCCTCATTAATGGTATGTAGGCCATCGACGTCCTTATCCGGACAAACGGCATCGGTTATCTTATGAGAATCAATTTCAGCCTCAGAATCAAGTGGCATTTGCACTATAATACCATGTACATTGGGGTCTAAGTTAAGTTCCGTTATCTAGAATAGATATAATAGATTTTTGATATACATGGGCTATATTTATTGATATGCTTATTTGAAATATATGTATGAACTACTCAAAAACTTGTTCACAACAGTTACTGATTAATATAACATACCTTCTCCAGCAACTCGACTTCGGTCACAGATCGTGGAAGTTTTATGTGCTCAACGGTAATGCCAATTTCTGTTGCAGCCTTCATCTTCATGCGAATGTAAATATTAGAATCTTCACGCTCACCAACTTGTAAAATTCGCAAGCCGGAGGTAAAACTGGGAAGCTTAGCCTTAACATCTTCAATTTGCCGTTTTAAAGACGCACGAATTTCACTAAAGAACGATTAGAAAATGTTGAGTCTAACACACTGATTTAAATTCAAAAACGCAACAACACTTACTTGGCCACTTCAGTACCGGAAATCAGTTTGGCGCTATTCGACATCTTATTTGTTAAAGTTTCTCGAAACGATCTAAAGCACAAAAAAGTCCGTTCAAAAAAATATGACAATCTTCTCCACAAAACTTAATCTCAACCGTTCTATGCAAAAGTCAAAAGCGAAATGCACTTGTATGACTAAAGTTTAACGAATTTGTAGTCCGGCCTGATTAGCAACACAAATTAAATTTGCTTTGTATTGGATCATCAAAGTAATCTTCAGGTCAAGCAAGTAAATTTTTTTTATTCTACAACTGATAGCAAATATTTTCTCCCAAAAGTGTCGATAATGTTTGAATGAGCGTAAAATGGGCGTGATGAAACCACCTAGGAGTTTGCAACTATTAAATACAATGCAAATTTTGCATATGTATGATACCAGAACTGCAAACTGGTAATAACATAGAAGCCTTAAAAATTATCTTTTGGGCAGTGTTGATCGTTCTCTCATAATTTTGAGCGCAAACGATGGCTGGTATTACATATGTATTTACGTGTATATGAACAGTATAACGATTGATTGAGGATATTTAAGCTTAAGAAAACTGAATTCAAGTTAATGAAATAAAATTCAATATATTTCATTCGCGGTGCACTAGGTAAGAATGTTAAATAGATCAAGTCGAGCACGACTGGAATGCTGCTAATAATTGGTTTCAGATAAAACAAGAAAAAACGTTAACTTCGGTTTCACCGATGGTCCGATATTGGCCATTCCGACAAATGAGCAGCTAATTAGTGAGCGCAGGAAAGGAAAGGTGCAAAAAACTGAGGGACTAGTTCGTATATATACGGACAGACATACGGACAGACGAACATCGTGGCAAACTTTATATATCCTGTTAAGGGTATTAATTTAAAGTTTATTACTAACATATTGTTTTTATAGGTGTCTTGTCTACTAAAAACACGTTTTTTATAGAGAGAAAAGTTGGCAATAAATAAATATTACATAATTTTCACCTCTCAAAGTATATTTCAGTATCAACAATCTGTAATAATAACCCGTGAGGCATTAATAAGATGTTTAGAACTGGCTTAATGGATGTAACAACTGATTGAACGCTAAATGTAATTTGCAATTTAAAGGTAATATAGGTGGGTTGCAACTTAAAAAGGAAAATTCGAAATCCATATAATTAGAACTTAATAAAAATGTATACTCACAAGATCTGGGCTTTTGCAAATGCCTACATAAAGGTGCTTCTAGTTTTCTATCGTGTGTCGGATTCACTGAGAACTCTACTATCTCTCTTACAAATACAAATTAAAGTATTAGCCCTAATGATAAGCATATGTGTGCATGAACACATATTAGGACACTCCAAAAAATGTCGAAACGGTATATAATTTCTTAAATAAAATATTTTATAATTTATTTCGTTTTAATGTTTTTGAATTACTAAACTTAAAATAAAAACGTATGTTCAAAATATGTTTGAGAAGAACTCAGAGTCCGAAAATAGAAAAAATTTACACTATCACACATCTTATATTTACAAAAACTTATTTGTAAGTATGTGATATATAATTTTTCTGGTATTTTGGAGATAAGTCGAGTTCACTATAAAATATTTGCTAATATTTTTGTTCTATATTCATACATAGCTACATACTTATATGTACGTATATAAGTTTCAGTAAGCGTGCAGCGACATTGTATAAATATTGAGACACCCTAATATACCGCTATACTTATTCGTTATTGTATCTTATATCTATTATTCATTATTGTATCTTGTATCTGCATGATTGGTTTCACATCTTCGTATTATATTTGCATGTTTATTTACACATATGAGTATTTTTGAGTCTTTTTAATTCCACGAGAGATAAGATATGCACTCGTACATGCGTCAGCTAATAACAAACTCACAAGAAATAAATAAAGCGATAAATTGGTAGATATTTACAAACTTTTTTGCATTATTAAGCATGACTAAAGTTTCTAAAAATGAGAAAACCGTTACATATTATATATCGTTATCGAAAATACTGTTATTAAAACTGAAAGATTCAGAAGCTTTAAGAATATATTTGTATATATAATATGTACGTTTGAATATGTTATCATTATAAATATAATGAACAGGATGGCCAAATCATTATATTTGTTATAAGGTTGTAAAATAAAGATGAGCAAACTCAGAAGAAAAAACCATGAAATGGTATAACTAAATTTCTATGGAAATATGGTAAGGATGCCTGTGAGTCAGTGTAAAAATTGGACAATACGTGTGACAATATCTCAGCAACGTTTCGACCAATTTTAACCTATGTATATTGGAGCCAAACATTATTTTGTCATCTTTATCGAACAGTTTGAAAATGGACAACCCCATATACTTCCCATATAACAAAATTTTAAAATCTCTCTGATTCTTTCACTTTACAATATATAAATCAAATGACAATTAAGCTCCGCACAAAGAATACTTTTATAGTATGGTACCTCTTGTGTAAAAATGGTGCAAACATAAAGATTATTATTTAATATTTTTTCATATAAAGTAATATAAGAATATAGATCGCAATACTTTTAGACTATTTACGTGTCAAAGTCTCTGAATATAAGCCTTTAGTCTAAATTTATTAAAAAAGTTTCCTAAGAACTGTCTTAATATATCAAGTGATCACAAAATTTGTACGTTGATAGTACCTACTAGAAAGCCCCTGTCTATATATACAAATGTATATGTATGTACGTAACTTTATTTAGGCTCAATCTGTTAAAAAAATTTCGGTTGAAGTGTTGTCAAACTTCAACCTTTTTGTGATGTTACGGTTTTCAACGTTGTGCCATAGGGGTTAACTTGAGTATCAAAAAATTTCAACTGCTATCAAGCAGTTGTAGTTAAACATTACTGCATTTATTTAAAAAAAATATTAATAGAAAATTTGTAAAAAAAAACTATTTTATTTATAATTTTAAACTATTGTATTTTAACCAGTTATTTTGTACAAATACATAAAAAGATGAACAATTTGTAGAGCTCGTGGAGTAAAATCCCGAAAGTGGATGAGGCAAGCAAACAAAAAACGATTTTCAATTTTTTTCTTATTATCATCTAGAAAAATTCATAGGTCACTTCTAACTACTTGAAAACATATTTAATGGATTTTATAGGAAATTGAATGCTCTACAAAATGGTATCTTAGAGTTTTTTCATAAACCTTTTAAAATATATTAATGGTTGAAGTTTGACGATTTTAAGGCAAAATTGTTTTTTTCTTTTGAATTTTATAATTCCATAAAAAAACATCATTTTAAACGAAGAGGCTAATAAGAGGATGGGAATTCATTATATTAGAGATATGAGGTTTATACCACGGTTTACACCAAATGTTCACGTATTCACCGCTACTTCATTAATACACTTAGTTTTATAATTTTTAAGAAAACTTGTCCACTTAATTTCATTAAAATATAGTATCAGGAGCTTGTTTGCCTTTGACATTGGTAAGGTATAATCAAGAACATATTTTTAAGCAATTTTACAAATAAAATAAATATGTAAAAATAACAAAAATCATTTTATGTACATAATGCTTTTATCTATTTTTGGCATTACTACGTATTGCTAACGGAAAAAATGCTCTCTGAGTTTCATTCAGGTACCACACATACCAGCACCAATAAGTAAGGAGTAAAGTCAACCGGATGTTTGAAAATCCTGATATTAGTTATATGAGAGCTAGGGTAAGTTCTCACCCGATTTTATCCAATTTAGGCGCACAGATGCACCGCTATCAGAAAACCACATTTGTGTTATGTAGTATATGGGAAGTAGGAGTGAATGTAATCCCGATTGTTTGCACTGCAATTTAGGCATGCTAAGATAATGTTACTTACCAAATGTGGTGAAAGCGGTCTAGTAGTTCCCGAGATATAGGTTTTCACCTAAATGTGGGCGCAGTCACGGCCATTGTCCAATTTTTGTATTACCTCCTATAAAACATAATTGTACCATCCCATGTGTAAACTTTAAAGTCTCTGGTTTGTTTTTTTAATAAGTTATCGCACTTTTAGTAGTTTAAATTAAAGCCGTCATATGGGAAGTGGGCGGGGTTATGACTCGAAAAAGATTTGTCCTGTGTGAATTTGATTGTTATAGCTTTAGTGGTTTAGAAGATATACACATTAAACCTCTTAAAGGGCGGGGCCACACCCATTTAAAAAAAATTTTAAACTACGGATATTATTCCCAAATCAGATTCTTTATACCAAATACCAGTCTTGTTTTTTATTATGGATCTTAGTTATAGCAATTTATTGGTTTTCGATTTATCGCGTTTTGTGGGCATGGCAGTGGCCCGATTACGCCCGCTGCCAAGTAACATGTGTACCAAGTTTCATCATATATCCCACTTTTTACTTAAGTTACAGCTTGCACAAGTGGACGGACGGACAGACAGCCACCCGGATTTCAGCTCGTCTCTTCATCCTGATCATTTATGTATGTATATATAACCCTATATATAACTCGATTAGTTTGAGGTGATACCAAAAACCGTTAGGTGAACAAAACTATTATACTCTGTAGCAACATGTTGCAAGAGTACAAAAATACGAGTCCAATATTTTGCGTACAAGAACACAAAAAAATTGATTTTCACGGTAATAATTTGTAATGTAAATTTAAGATTGAACGACCCATATATAAATGTCAAGGTCAGTAATCACTAGAAAAAAAATTAATTATCTAACAATATTGTATTTAACTCAAACGAAGTTAATATAAACTCAATTAACGTAAAAATGAGTGAAATATCATATTGCAAGAAAATAAATCTGGAATAAAAGTGAGCCCTTCATTATAAATTGAATGAATTATTGATAAAAAACTTTGAAATTAATTAATTTAACATGAATAAAGAATCGATTTCATATTCGAAAAGTAATATATATACATACGTGTCGGACAAAACTAAAGCACGAAGTTCACCTTGTACACATTTAGTTAAAAACAAATAAATATAATAGTTTTATATGTTTAAAACAAAAATGTATCAAGCTTAACTTCTTTTTATTACAAAAAAGATTTTGACACATTACGTTACGTATTTTTTAATACTTCAATAAAAATTTAAATTTTTGTGAAATAAAATAGAAAATATTAATTTTATAACAGTAAATAAATTATATGCAGTTAAATGGTAATGTGGTAAATTTCATGCTTTAGTATTGTCCGACACTGTATATACACTTATATAGATAAAAGTTCAAAATTAAATTAAGAAATTATTTAATCGCGTTTCGTACACTATTTAAAGAAATAGTAATTATCCTGCAGTAACAGTATCAGAACTTAACGTTATATAGTTTAGAAAACTATCACTCACTGCAAGGTACAATTTTGTAACCGTGATGATATATAATACATCCCAATTGTGGCTCCATTAAGTCTAATGTTTTGTAAATTTAAATTAATAAACGCGATACATAGTTCCATAATAATATGTTTTATATATACATATATGTATAAATAAATTTTATTGAAAAGAAATTTTCTTCCTATTTAACTAATTTTTTAATTTTTACAACGTACATAAGTGACACTATGTGATTAAAATTTAATAGACATTGATATATTACCCCCTATGTAACATAATCTCATTAATTTCTATTACCATATATGCATTTAAATAAAGAAATTCGTTTAATTTATAACTTTGCTTAAGTTAGATTAGAGATTTTCTCAAATCCTCCAGACTTAGCTATTTTGTTGAATTTTATACAAACAAATATGATACTTTTATTGAACTGATACTATGTTGAACGCGGAAATATATGTATATGAAACTATGTGTTTTTAAATTCATTTTATTTTCATTCCTTTCCACAATCTGTTACAATTTGAGTTCTGTGCAACATCTAAAAAATTGTATCTAATTACTTAAATAAATATTTTTTTATTTATTTTAAAATTTATTATTTTCTTTCCAACAGTGTCATTATACTTTAATTGCAGCTCGCAGTTTAGCAGACCTACTTCTGCTGTTTTTCATCACTTCCTCTTCGTTAGGAAGGATTACGTGTTTATGCAGCTGCTTCCAATTCGATCCTACAAACAATTCAATTAATTCCTTATCATGTGATATATCATGCCCACAATATTTCAACGGCACTGGATTCGCAAGGCCCTCGATTACATTCCCGTTTATATGTCGCTTTACTATTGTATCCTCAAGTGAATGAAAGGTTATAGCGACAAGTCGGCCTTGGGGTCTCAAATACTCATTAGCTAAAATCATTCCATAATTGATCTCATTTAATTCATTATTAATAAATATGCGCAATGCTTGAAACGTCTTTGTGGCTACGTGTGTAGGCCGCTGAATTTTGTCCAAACGATGTGTATCTTGAAGACACGAGGCCACTAAATCAGAGAGCTGTTTGGTAGTATCAATCTTATAAAAACAGCGTGCCTCTACGATCGCACGAGATATTTTTTTCGCTGCTTTCTCTTCACCATACATTCGCAATATTTTCACTAGATCACCTTCCTCGGCACGAGCAAGAACATCTGCGGCTGTAACTTGGTCACCATTTCGTCCTCGATCCATGCGCATGTCCAAAGGACCATTTTTAGAAATAGAAAAGCCTCGATCCGCTTCGTCAAATTGCATCGAAGAGCAACCGAAATCAAACAGTATGCCATCAATGGAGTGTTTTTTTATTTTATACTCTTTTAAAAGCTTCGGCAAATCGGAGAATTTTCCCAATAGTGGTATTAGTCGATTTGAATATTCTTTACTTAAGGAAATAGCGAGTTCATAAGCAACCGGATCTCGATCAAGAGCGAATACTTTTATATCTTTATGTTTTTCTAAAATGTGTTTACTGTGACCACCGGCCCCAAAAGTCATGTCAATAAAAACTTTTCCAGGACCTAGGTTAAGATAGGTAATTGCTTGCTCGCAGAGCACAGGTACATGTCTAACTATTTGTCCATCAGGGCTATTCGCCGCAGTGTTGTAGTTAGACCTCAAATATATTAAGGCTTGGTTAATTCGACGAAACATTATTAATAATAAGATATTTGGAAAAGGGTCCCTTGCAAATTATAAACTAATGTTTGTTTTGGTTTACAGTTTTTTGTACCGTATTTTAATCGCTTTTGCCCTTTTCGCCTACTTTTTCGTCATTGAGGTACTGTAAAAATTCAGACGACAGCACTTGACTGCACTGTTCCGCTGACAATCCTGTTGCAGTAGAAGCGTACCTCCGCTGATATTTCTTAGCGTATATATTGCTAGCTAATCTTTCTAAAGAATCAATTTGTGCATTTAATTCGATATTGGCCTCGGCAGTAAGGCCAGCTGGATTAGAGAGAATTTTGACTTGTTTTCGTATCTGCTCCCCCAAGTCCCTATTAAAATTCGATAATTGTATGTTAGAAATGGTACAAACAGCAAAATAACGATTAAAATATTAATGAAGATAAGTATTTGAAACATTTTTGTAGCAATAGACACGCTTTTAAATGTACGATACAGATATAATTTCCTAAAGGTGCGTAAAGAAATTAGAATTGATTTCCTTACGTATTGAAATAATCTTTTAACAAGTACTTGATATTGTGCATTTCAAGTATAAACTTCTAATAGCTGTATATAAGCATCGACATGAGAGGTAAAAGCAATTTTGACATTATTAGGGGAATGAAATGAAATCAATCACACCGACATTAATTCTTTTTTAACTTATGATGAGCAATAAATAAAATCAAAAATTCTATAACAAAAACAAACCACTTCATCTTTTTTGATCAAAACTATTTTCTTAAATAGATATCAGAGAAATATATAATTGAGGCTTATGAGCTTGTCACAATTGTAGGATTATTCTACCTGCATCGATTCATAAACGAAAAGAAACAAAACAAACGTACGGAGTTATTTCAAAGAATGTCGGCAAATGTGTGCAGGATTAATCGCCATACAAATTCGTTTTACACTTACAACGTTATTAAGGCATTTAAATTTTTGGTTTCAGTAATCAAGTATCATTGAAAAGAAGGATGATTAGCCCAGGTTCCCTACTTCGTTGGTAGGCCTGCTATCTTGGCCTACGAAACTGCCATAAAAATACAACTTTATAACGCGAGCCGCTTGCTCCAAGACAGACGCCCGCTGTATCCGTCACTATCATGTGAAACAGACGCAGGATTTTGGATTGTTTTAGCTAAGGCATACACCCTCGGCCTTATTGGCTTGGGAGGCCCTGCCAGTAGCTAAGCTACCGCCGGCAACGCTCTCAGGATCATTGCACTTACTGAGGCCCGTCAACGCGATAAGATAACAATCCTCGAGGAGGCTCTACGCTCCAACCGGAGTTAAAGGAAATACTATGTTTATATAAAGTATTTAACTTACTCAGTAGAAGAAACACCACGGATACATTCTTCCGAAATTTTTTGATAAGCGTATTTTGAGCACATTTTCAATAGAAACGATTAACACACCGTAAATCTTTAGATTTATTGCGAGGGCCAAATAAGAATGACACAAAAATGAATCTTGCGCGAACTTAACTACCTTGTAAACGACAGCACCTCTTTTAAGAATTTTATAATACTGCAACATTAATAGTAGTAGCGCAATAAGTCAATAATCAAACGATAAGCCAAATAATCTGTACTTAAGATGCACTTTTGTTAAACACAAATCAAGTACTTTCATTAATAAAGAACATAATTTATTGAAAGTACATTAGATAACGTGTTGCTACAATACAACGTGAGAATGGAAAGGTGAAAAGTTATGAGAGTGACTAACGTTATTGCATACCTGCCCACTTTTGTTTTGTCTGTCGGCCACTTCTCCAGAACTTTAAGAAATCTTTTATATGGAACTGACATACCTTACTTTGATAAACAACGTTATTCTACGTAAAGTTAATGATATTAGGAATTCTCTGTTAGGAATCAACTTACATTTTTATCTCACAATTCGATTTCATAAGCCCAGTAAACGAGGAAACAGCTGATAACACAGTTTGAAGCCTCTATTACAATTTCCATCTAATTAATATATCGATAGAAAGTATTTCCATTTTCGCTCGATAAGTGTGGATCAATTTAATCAGATATTGTTTATAGTTTATAGCTGTGAATTGGCCGAACTTACAAAACTACCCCAAACTTTTATGTACGTGTGATTGCTCAATCATTTCTTGCGCATTGGGCTAATGAGTTCAACGTTTTTATGTGTTAGTTTTCATGCTAACACTTTTAATATTATATATTGGAGTTTCGGGTAGCCGAGACTTGATGGGAACAACTGAAAATATTTAAAATTTATTTTCATTGCTAAAAAACAAGCCATAGAAAGACATGTATTACAAATTATTGTAAGAAACGGAAACCATATGTGCTTTGACTGATAAGTTCGTTCACGATCCCCATCCAAATTAAAAATAAAATTTAAAACAAACGCAATCACGTCGTAGCTATATTTAGATAACACTTGAATGTTTAATATTAATAAATTTATTTTGACTAATTCATATTATTATATTTTCTGACGTACACTTTTTTCGAATTGTTTTTACTTTCTTGTTGTATTTGTGTCGGTTCATTTAAATTCGGTTGTATACTATTTCCAGTGATAGGAGAATTGTATGTTATATTCCTTTATCTCTGAAGTTAATGTGACGAATTATTTTTTATAAAATATTCGAAATGCTTAATTGTTCAAAATTAAAGTCGATGGGAACGATTCATTATGTTTTACCTATTGTTTTTGCCTATTTTCCGCTGTCAGTTGATTTACCAGTGCAATGACAGGAGTGTAAAATTGCTTTTGATTGGTTCGTTTGCGGAAAAGTGTGTGGTGTAGGAAATAACAAGAAAGTTTCGGGAATCCGAAATATAAAATATTTCAAAAAGAAAATCTTTTGAATTAGGCGTATTGTAATGTCGGGCTTAATTTCGATAACAGTACGGCGTCTACCGCGCGATGTCCTTAAACTGGGTATGCAAGCTGCACTTATTCAGGAGGTATGTATTCATAAAATATATGTACTAGTGATGCGAAAACAGTACAGAGCAAGTGTAGAAATTTGGAGGCTAATCCGGAGTAAAGACAGTATTTGCATCTGATGGTTATGTAACATATCAAAAAATTCTGAAACTTTAAATGAAAATGAATCGTTTTGTTTCACTTAAGGATTTTCATGTATATCACATGACGTTACAAATCTGTTGTGCAATCAATTTTTGTTCAGATCAACTATGATCTCTTGTTTCTCTTTTAGGTTAAATCAGCATGTGTAATACGCCAATTTTCAAAATTGGCAGTGGTAACACAAACCCAGGCCATTACAAGAAGTGGAGTCCTTTCTACTGTCGAATACCCCTCTCAAAGGTAATATTGAACTTATAAATGTTTTCGAAGAAAATGTAACGAAAATGGTTTTAGAGCTTTCAGTGCTTTTGGAACTCAAGGTTTTCACACAACTAGTAATTTGTGGACCACTGAGACGGTAAAAACTCCTCCTTTCCCTGAATCCGTAGCCGAAGGAGATGTCAAGTGAGTGAGCATTTTTAATCTTATATGTTATAAAGTATATTTAATGAAGTATAATCGCATGATGTTATTTAAAACCGGTCTGTGTTATTAAATTTTGGTTTTAAATCTAAAAAAAGCGGTACAGATAAATTAGCAAAGTGATATAAAATATTAGGAGGCTGTCAATATTTTTATATATACTATCTGGTTAAATTCGACTCGGACTGAACCATTTAACCTGCAACTACGCAACTAAATGCACTATAACTAAGCTCCACGTTAAGATACAAAACTGTAATTTGGTACCACAATCCATTAGGAAGGGGCATCTGTGGTTTGAAAATATTTAAAACGTACTTTAGTTTAATTCGGAAAATATGTGAAATAGGTTCATGAATTATTTCAGGGCCATACACAACATATAATAATTTTTGTTATATTAGCAGAATTTATGCTGGAAATGTCGATGTGTGTTATCTTCACGAAATTGCGTTGAAATATGTTCTTGAGTATACTTGCGTAATGCCAAACTTTTATGCAATCAGTCCAGTTCCCTAGCTCCAATATACCCGATATAGCTATTTCCTTTTCCACCTGACATTAATCCGTTTATGTTGGCCGAAATGTGTGATATTTTAATGAAATGAACTGCACAAGTTTTTAATTTATGTGTCTAAGCGCTGAATGGAATTGGTTTAAACCTCATTTCATTAAAATAATGAATTTCGATAAATTAAATATAGCCTCTTCGTTTGAGTTTATATCACACATATGTTATTTCATTTGATGATGAGCTTAAAATAATTCTCACTGACACAAAGTAATATATAGAAATAAAACTAAATGAGTCTATGACCTTCAATATAACGTAAATAAGATACCAAATGATTGATATCTTTTCATGCTTCCGTCGAATAATGAATGTTGCATTCAACATTGCATCGCAACATTGTTTAATATAAAGTTTTGCCAACACCTGAAAGTTTTTTTCCGGCTTTGTTCCTAGCAAATTGGGAGAGTATAAATTGTTCCTATTACTCAGAGCCTATTTTGCAGGCGATAATAAAGATTTATATTAAAATTCTTTACATACTATTTAATACCGTAGGTATATGTATACATAATAAAATTTTTTAATATACCCTCAGAAAGCTCTAAATTAAATAGTAATACTCTTTTTTAGGTTTACTGTTAAAGTTGGAGATTATGTGGCTCAAGATCAGGTTGTTATGGAAGTTGAAACCGATAAAACTGCAATGCCTGTCCCCGCGCCTTTCGGTGGTGTAATTCGTGAGATATTAGTGGAAGATGGTGTGACAGTAAAAGCCGGTCAACCTTTGTTCAAAATAGAAAAGGCGGACGGTACGCCAACTGCCGCTGCCGCTGCACCGGCAGCTGCAGCACCTCCAACTCCGAAACCTGCTGCTCCTGCACCCGCTGCTGCAGCACCACCACCAAAACCAGCTCCTCCGGCTGCAAGACCACCACCTGCAGCAAGAGCTGCTCCACCATCACCACCACCTAAGCCCTCAGCACCTGTGGGCCAAATTCCAGTTGCTTCTGTGCCACCTGCTCAAGCTGCGCCACAAATAAAGGTTCCACCAAGTGATTATTCGCGTCAGATTACCGGTACCCGAACCGAACAACGTGTGAAAATGAATCGAATGCGCCTAAAAATTGCTTCCCGTTTGAAGGATGCACAAAACACAAACGCCATGTTGACCACATTCAATGAAATCGATATGAGGTAAGTACTGCTAAAGTTGCTTACAAAACGGTTTTATGAAACAATTGTTTGTCATTTATACATTATCTTAGGTTATAATTACAGATTTTTCCTTCTTTTACGTCTTCATTTAAAAAATCTTTTTCAATTATTGAAACTTTTTATTAATTTAAATTACAATAAAAATATCTTTTTTTTAGTGCTGCCATGGAATTTCGTAAAGCTAATCTAGATGCTTTCCAAAAGAAATTTGGGATCAAGATTGGATTTATGTCTATATTCTCTAAAGCTTCTGCTTACGCATTACAAGATCAACCCGTAGTTAATGCTGTTATTGACGGACAGGTAATTCTAGAATAGCATTTAAGCTGAACATTTTTATTTCATTTTAAGTCAGTAACTGCTTAAAGTTCCAATTTTATTTATATAATTTTAGGAAATCGTGTATCGCGATTACGTGGATATTTCAGTGGCTGTAGCTACGCCCAAAGGTCTTGTCGTTCCCGTGATAAGAAATGTCGAAAGTATGAATTATGCGGATATTGAAATTGCCTTGGCTGCACTTGGAGAAAAAGCAAAACGGAATGCAATCGCCATTGAAGATATGGATGGTGGAACCTTCACCATCAGTAATGGAGGCGTGTTCGGTTCGTTGATGGGAACGCCAATTATCAACCCTCCCCAAAGTGCTATATTGGGCATGCATGGCATATTTGAGCGACCAGTTGCGGTAAAGGGACAAGTGAGTAAAACGTTTTTTATGTAAAATCAAATTAATTGATTAATTTCAAATTCACAGGTTGTTATACGTCCAATGATGTATGTTGCTCTTACTTACGACCATCGACTGATTGACGGGCGTGAGGCTGTAATGTTCTTGCGTAAAATCAAGGCTGCCGTAGAAGATCCTAGAATAATGCTGGCTGGATTATAAATTCAATTTCATTGACAAAATTCAAAGAAAATCGCTTAAAGCTCTGATTAAAAATGGAATATGTCTAACATATAAATATTTAACGAATTGCAAATATGCCTTAGATTTTTATTTATTTTGGTCTTAAACTCATTTGTTGTTTTACGTCTTCGTTTAAAAAAAAATCATTTTTAGTTATTGAAGTTCTTTTTTTTTATTAATTTATTAACAAAAAAATGTATTATTTACTTACAATTTATTCACATATACGCTTTTATGCTAAAATTTCTATCACATTTTCTTTATTTAAAGTCGGTGTTCTAATTGATGTGCATTAAATATTTCCTCAACATGTACATATATTTATTACACCTATCACGTATTTATTGTAAATGGACATTGCTAAAAATATATTAATCCAGTCGAGAAGCTAACGAAAATTTGGTGAAGAAAATTATTTTTATTAATTAATATAACCTATAACGAAATTGTTGTTTACGCTCTAATTGACAGAAGAGCTTAAAAATTAAAAACGTGTATAAGTGCGTTTGTTTTGTTGAATTTTATTCGGCACAAAATTTGTAATTCTATTGAATCAAGGTGTGACTTTGCTCACTCAGTTTCGAGTGATGCAAAATCCTTTCATTAACATTATTGTCAAGAATAATAGAAAACATCTACATCTATCATTCTTGCAATATTTTTAGAGTTCAAATACGAGGGTGGTATGATGCTTACTTAGCTTACACTTGAAGCGGTAAATAAATTAATATACTATCAAAAAATTTTCGAAGGCGATAACCTCAATTTTGTCTGGCGGGTGACATTTTCAAATTTGGAAATAATAATAAATACAATAAATACACTGTACAGCAGCAGTTGGAAGCCTAATTTGAAGGTGAGACCCGATGTGTTGTGATGGTGGCCATTTTCTTTTCGACGAACGGGATCACATATCCTGAATTTGATAAAATAGTTACCATCACCTATCCGGCAAACAGAAACGCTGTGTACAGTTGTAGTAGTTTTCGAGGCACCCGGGCAAAGTGATGTTTGATTTCCTTTCCAAAATCATGAACCGAATCATTGATTGATATTGCCTTTTTGCATTTGTCTAAAATTTGCTGACACAACCCCTTCCACATGCGGTGAGAACAAAAGTACGAGAGTATATGTGACCGCTCTCGTAACTCAACTTTTGAATTGTGTGTCACCTTGAGGATACGCCTTTTGTTTTTCTAACGGTTGTTATATACCATGAAAAAACTGAATTGCATAAGAATGGGATTTTCCACAACAAAATGCTTAGAACGGCACAACGAATTGATTTCGCGATGTTTGTTTCATCGTTATCATTTGAATACTATTCGTCGTCATGAATCTTAAGTCTTCTAATTTACAGATTTAATCAATAAAAAAATAAAAATGAGTAAAATTCACTTTGGTCAGTGAGTGCCAACAAATCTACACATGTACGTACATATGTATGTTTATTTCTATGGGAATAAAATCTGTTCCTCATTTTTACCGAACTTAATTGTTGTTTTGAGACACTCAAATTCCATTTTGCAATTAGTTTACTTCTTGATTTTGTTTGGTTTTTGTTTCTTCATACCCCTTTCATATCAACATTTTCATTAACGTCGACATTAAAAACAGACGTATCTTTCTCCTACAGTCGCACTGCTGTTTTGAAACATTTTGTGGTACATATGGGGAAAACTTTTCCGGATCCAATGACATGTTCATGTATTTCCGTAATTAATATGTTTACACATATATTATTCGTACTTTTGGCTTTCACAGACTTTGCCACTGGACACTTATTAGGCATTTTTCAAACATTGCGCAATATTTGCAATAAATTAAAGCGGTTGTTGTTCTGTAAAAATTTGCAGCCATCACACCAGTGATCATCACACTGTGTGATGCTGATAATTACAAACTCGGGTTGAGAGCCCGTAGTGCTTTTATTATCTTAGGTCTAGTTTGTAGCGGAATTGAACAATTTATGAATGATATACTTGTATGGTGTCATTGTTTTGTAAGTGAGTGCTATTTAGTGTAAGTAAATATAAATATACTCAATTGAACGCTCTACAAAAACACAATTACCTAAGTTGTGACATATTGAGTATGGTCAATTGAAATTAAAAGGTTTAAGATACAGATACTACTGACTCACATAAACATATTTATTTGAATTTTCATATATTAAAAAACATAATATTTCATTAAATACCTAACGGTTGTTTGCTTATAAAAATATTCAAAATCAATGATAAATAAAGAGAGAGTGTCACAGCGTGCCCATTCGTTTATCTTCCCCAGGTGGCGCTTAGTCATTTACTAGAAACTATGTCCTTAATGTTATTCGGCAAATGGATTATTTTAATGAGCTCGGAGGTTTGCCTGTCGCTTCACGTCCGCTGTAACTGAAGAGGTTTGTGTAGACTTGCTGGTATATTTTTTTTGTAAGTACTATATATTTAATATTCGGTCTGTCCCTAGACCTCTACTACATATTTCTTTTCTTTTGTTGTTGTTGAAATTGGGCTGAAATGGAGAGCATTGAACGGTGTTACATAAATTGCTGCCGTTGATTAGAATGCTTTCATGCGGTCAACCGATATGAAAAAAAGCAAAAAAAATTGATTTAATATGTTATCGAATGCGCTTTCTCTACAACAAATGTTCAAACTGTCTGCGATTCATAAAACTAGTGCGAATTTTGTTTAAATGTGCTATCTCTTTTAAATATGCTAATGGCTTAATGCCAAATGAGTTATAATACCTGCGGAGAAATATGTTTGTGATTGTTTTCTTCAATACATACGAAGATTATGTAGCAAACGTATGTACATATGTATGTATTTTAAAATTTTCCTTGGCGCTGTCGAGGTGAAAATTTATATGAGGTGTGTTCAGAAAATATCGGTGTTTAAATGAGCTAAGCCTCAGTAAATAACCACACCACTCTACTCGACAAAAATTGACGCACCCTAATAATGCCCACCACATACTCACCAATACACCACCCCAGATACTCACCACAACTGCTCCCGCGCGCAACTATTTCGACTCGACACCACTCCGCACGCATCTTATACATTCGTTTTTGTCTACGGGTCTGTGCGCCAGATCAACTTTTCGACAACAACGATCCTGCGCGCTACTCGTGCCGATTATAGCTCGTCGATCGACATCGGCCCAAAATAATACTTTAAAGAAATGTATTAACAGTAATAACTGGATTTTATATGTAATAAAATATTGTACACGAGAAAAATCGCATTTTTATTCATAATTTTAAACGCGAGTGTATTGAAGTGTCAGCGTTTTTACAGTGGTGGGTGCTCCCATATAAGTTGTGTATCGTTTTAATCAATCGCAATGACAATGAGCTATCACGCATTTAGTACTTTTCAACAAAACCGTTATATGGGGAGTGACATGGTTACTATCCGATTTCCGCTCAATTCTCATCCTCAGCAGGTTTGGTTCATTGAATCATTTATTATTTATAATATTGAAGCAATAACAAAACACAATAATAACTAACCCAATAAGATTTGGAAGAGATTCTGTTGGAATATCGTAGTGTTCAAGACTACATCATACTTTGACAATAGTTTTACTAATTCCAAAAATTGCATTGTTTTAAAGTATTTTCCTTCATCATGTCCACGAAACGCCAAGTTTTGTTTAGCCAGAAATAAAGTTATATGCAGTAATCCATCAATTGCATAGCTGCATCATCTATTGTTTTATTAAATTTTAGTCTCATTTCTAAGGTTTTTCATTTCTCAAGATTTTCTAGATGTTCATTTGAACATTCGTGGGCAGCTACTTTCGGATTTAATTTCCACCACTTTTGAAATTCAGTCGTAAATGTTTCCGCATTGGTATTATTGGCCATAGCAAATAAACGACATCAGAAACAGTACAGGTTTTTAGGGTTGAGGGAATAAACCATCCATGATCATAGGATTTTTTCACCATTTAGGCATAATTTTATGGATTTACGTGTGTGGACGTTTCAAGATGAGTCGAATCCAACAAAAGTTGTTCGCGCACGAAGCATTTTCGAACAAATGGTTGGTAAATTCTGAGTGATACACAACCATTTGTTTGCCAGTTGTCTTATAAAAATGCATGTTATTGGTGATACCTCACTCAGAAAGGCAAAAGTGCTTCTACAATTGGTTCAAACGCATACAGAAGCGTATAAATCTTTATGGAGAATATTTGGAAAAACAATTAAGCGAGATGATTAATATTTTTTTTGTTCTTTAATTCCAAAATATAAAAGCCAACCTCCGTATGAGAAGAGGAGCAAAATGTAGTAAGGAAACTAAGTACGCGTAGAACTTATAATAACATATTCAATACATAAGTTAATAAGATACTAAAGGCTCTTGATATTTTAAAACTGCGAGAGTACCAAATGTTCGGTTACACCCTTCCTTACTTTAAATATTTAACTTAATTATTAAAATAAGATCTAATTCTCGGCCGCACTCACAGCTACTCCTTTCAATAAATTTTGTAAGCTTACAAAGCCAAAAACAGGCCGATAGCTGAATTCTATTGAATTATTACGTGGTATTTGCTCATCACTTTTTCTACTATATTATATTATAACACAAACAGGTGAATACATCTGAATAAAGGTGGACATCATACACAGATCTTGTATATTTCCTGGCTTGGAGTCTTTACCATACCATAGGACGTGGAGAAATGATATTGAACTTTTAACTAGCACAGTGGTTGGCACTGCTTTCCATAAACCAATTAATAAATCTGAAAGTATTATTAAATGTTATTTTTATTTTATTTCCGTGGCTTCCATAACATAACAGCATTCGAATTCCGGCAAATAGTACAAAAAGGATAAGAGTTCATGTACTATTTGGTTAAAATTAGTATAATTAGAATAATTAACAGTTTATATATCCCTCATTTAACGCACAGAAGATCTGAACTGTTTTTATCACATGAGTGCAATAAAAGAAAAAAAATTTGATAAAAGTGCTCTCCTATGTTAACGTAACTATGAGAAGTAAATATGACGATAGAGGACCTTACAGTCTAGTACTTACAGTATTCCCAGCGATTTCGATTTAGAAAAAATCTCCATATCCAAAATTAAAGTAAATTATACGGAAAAGGTTTGAGTTGAGATTGTTTGTTTTATTAGGAGCAAATTGATTTGTACAATTGTATATTATAATTCGATACAGATTTAGATTAGAACAGCATAACTTTAATTTTAATCTACTTTTTTATTTGATAGTGTTAACAATTTTTGAATACTTTACTTATATTTGAATTAGCATGCAGTAAATATGTATGTAGACCGGAAATTCTAGATCTATCAAAGAGATTGGATAACATTTTATTGATTGTTACTAACATCTATATAATTTTGTATATATATTGAAAATAAAGAATATATGTAAATAATGCAACAATCGTCTCATCTAAAATGTTTGCGAATACAAAATTGGTAAGAAGAGAACATTTTAGACAAAAGGATTGGCATTCATAATTTTAGCGCTGCATACAAGCTCTTTTAAAATCACCTGCATGGCATGACCAGCTTAATTTTTGATGATTAAAAAGGTCATCGATTTTGGCTTTTTTCAGAAATATTCACGAAGTTTAGCACATTTTTGCCTTTATTCTACTCGTGTTATGGCGACTGCAAAATGTGTCCACAATTGAGGGGATACAGAGTGTAGTTACGTTATATTTTCTCATTCGATAATGTTTTCGATTAGTCCTTGTACCATATTGAGTTTTAGTAGTGATAACAATTGTGGCCATTTTGGTATTTTTGTTTCTTTGACAATTCTTCTGAATTTGTTTTTTTGTTGTTTCCATAAGAGCTGAACCAATTAAACTATATTGTACGCTTTACCATACAAAATACTAATCTTACGTATAAGGATTAACTTATTTTCGGTGTTTGTTCGAATCTTTAAAATATTGCTAGTGTGTTTAATTTATTTCATTTTAGTTGCCTCGATAATTTATCAATTATTTACTTTTTTATTGCTTACATATATTTACATACATATATGTGAGTGTATGCATTTCGCTTTCTGGCACGTGGGCACAAAGCGCTTTTTCGTTCGTTGCGTATTTAAAGCAATTACACTGGGTATCCCCCCTGATGATTCTTTACCGTACAATCAAACAGTATTTGATTTCGTAAGGCAATCTCTCTGGACAGATCCCAACCACATATTTGGAAAATCATTGACGCCGAAGAAACTACGAAAGTGAGTCCACAGCCAGTGAATATCAAAATATTTGTGTGTACAATGATGATTTTGTGGTGAACTACCGAACTAGTGAGGGTCTTCTGAACTGCACTGAACTGAATTTACTCATAATAACAATTTTGGTCCCATCCGCTTTTGCCTATGAATTTGTCAAAACCTTAAAGAAACTATGTATATAAAATGAAAGCGTATTCGCTAATAAATATTTATGTATAAATGCTTGTGTACGTGTGCTGCGGAGGATAATGCTGATAGAAATTGATATCGAAATAAGTTACTTTAGCTTGGCGAATTTTCATAAAAAATACGAATGCGAATAAATCGTCATTTTAAAATTAGGCTTTGGATGAGAAAAAGGTATGAATTTATGTATATACATATACATATGTATGTATATAGTATATCATTCGGTTAGCTTAGATAAAACCATTATGCGTTTCACCAAATTCGTTGCCGTTGATGGAGTACATACATGTAATTGTAGGTATATGCAGGAAGTGAATTTGAGAGCAATTTTGCTATAAATTTAGTATTTTCTTATTCTTTGAATGCTGTCTTTGCAATTGCATTCTTTAGTGTTGCCGCGGTCTTGCTGCTGGTTTCTTTGGTTGCTGTCTGCCATGTTCAATAGAAATATTGTAATTTCATTTGCAGCGGCTTCATGTCATTAGCTTGCCAAATGGGCGGGTTGGCAGTGATTGGGAGGTGGAATAGTTGAATACGATAGCACGATAGAGTGCTATGTGAATGAGCTTGGCCTGCTGTTGGCTTGTTGGCTAGAGACTGCGCATGGCCATAGTGTGAGTTTGAACGTTTTTTGGGGTTTATATTTTATTGATAGCAATTACTGCGACTGCTGCTGGTTCATAAATTTATTATGGAAAGTTTAAATGCTGCTGTGTGTGATTTTGTAGCTTATGTTTTGCTTATGCTGTCGAAGCTGTTACACATTGCTGCTTTTGGATTGTTTGCTCAATAGCAAATTCGATGTTGTCGATGATGTTGAGTTATACTCATATGTGCATGTGTGTGCGTTTGTAAGTATTTGGGTTTGAAAGATTGTATAAAAAGCGCTTGACTGCCAGTCTGACGGTGAATCTGATTTGAATCTGCGGCATGTGTTGTTTTATTTTTGTTTATTTATTTGATGAAAGTTCGTCGTAAATATGTTTCTGAGGGTTCTTTTGCCTCGACTACGCTTTTGTTTCCACACTTATGGAATTACTTGAGTTCAATTTGTTTTTGATGTTGTAGTTTTGCTATTTTTTATGCTATGCTATTAACTTCTGCATATGTGTGTGGATTTGTGAGTAAAATATGTGCCCGTATATTATTAATCCAGATTTACAGATTTTCTTCAAGAAATTTGACCACAATTTAAGAACGTTGCCAAAGTTGAATTTTCTTTCTGAATAAATTTAATATTTTAGTTGTGCATGTTGACCGACGAAGGTAAAATTTGTGTAGAGATGCGGTAGTCATCGTTTTTTGATGTAAGTCAGAAGTTGCGTTTGATTTGAATTTCATCATTTTATCGTTTGTGTTGAAAGTTCTGTCAAATAAACGAGCTTTTTGCTTTTCCACTTGGATAAGTAATTGAATGAGATTTTCAGTTTTTGACATTTACAGACTTCAGTGCTGTTTGACTGTATTTGATTGACTATCACGAATTATGGTAGTTGGTCATTTGGAGTTTCGAGTTGAAATTTGGGTTCAAATAATTCTGTTAGATATTGCATAATGCTTAGCTACTCTGTTAGTCTTTTAAATTTTACTATTATACTTTAAACGGTTTTAAGAACTCAAAATTTACTGCTAAAGTGTTTTCTTATTTAGAATTTTGTTTTTGTTTGGTACTTTTTGTGTTGCCATTTTAAGATGACTTTGTCTTGTTGAGCCGAGTTGCTTGCCAAAGTGGATTTTTTATTGCGTTTTTCCGGGGAGTTGTAATGAGCTTTGTAGTTGACTAATGCCAGAGGAGTATGAATTTGAAATTTCTTGCGTTTGTCGCATAACGACTTCCGTTCTGCCGCATAGGGTAATTTATGTCTCTGTTAATATGTATAATAATGTACGCTTTATAGTCACTTTAATTTTGTTTTATAGGTCGCTTTTTGTTGCCATTGTGCATATACATATATTTTCTACAATTTGGTTATTCAAGTATGCGAGAATTACAATTTTGAATTTTGTTTTTTTATAGAGTTGCTTTTGGAAGTTTCAATTTCATTTCATTTTTCAGATTCATCAGATTTATTTAAAGGAAATTATTTTTGTTTTTCGTTAGATTGATTTAATTTTGATCAGAATAATTACTGAATAGTTAAATAAGCAAACAAAATGTATATTGCTTTTGGAAAAGAAATAGCCGAAGACATTGCGTTATCACATTTTTGTGTTTTGAATTGAAATTGTTTGTTTTTTTAAATTGCTTCTCAATTTTTAGAAACTTTCATTTGTGCCAAAGATAAGTGCGTAAGCCGCTACGATCGATGAATTTAGAAAAGTCTAAAAATAAATGTTTAAATTATTAAATTTGCAGTTTTTTAGATTAAGATTTTGCTTCCTATATAATATAAAGTATTAAGATTTGTTCCTTTCATAAATTACTGATACAAATTTTAGGTGCATGAAATTATTTTTTGGATTTATATAGTAAATGTTTTTATATTCCCCTTTTCATTTTAGCCTTTTTTTATGTGAGTTAATTACTATCATTTAAAATATTTAAACAAATAGGCATATATGTATACCTAAAGGTCAGTGTAGTCAGTATATGTCCTCTAAGATGCCACACTATTTTTTGTTAAACTTTTGAACTTAAATGTCTTCAGATTTTTCTAAAATAATAAAATATATAAAATTAATTCCTATTTTTCCATGAACATCGCAGAATTTTGTTAAAATGCATGTAGAGCAAAATTTATAAAACTATTTTAAATTGTGAATTATAAAAAAATATGCATTCATTTATAATTTAGATTTATATTTGATATTCCTTTAGGATTTAGAATCCGTAAAAACAACGTTCAACGTTTTTAGTAAGCTGCCGAAGAGGATTTTTGTTTAAAAATAACTAATTCAATCAATATGCATATGTATATGATTTCCGCAATTTCAAAATTTTGGAAATGGTTAATTTCGAAATATTAAATTCTTTAAAATACATTAATTTTGTTGTTTGAAAAACGAAAGACAAATGTTTTTGCTCAACTAAAATCATGACTGATTTTTAAATTAATTTTTTAAATTTAACAAAATATTTTATGATCAAATATTAATTTTGATAATAATATGTGAAAATTTTGAATTAATTTTGAATTCGATATTAAAATTTTTAATCATATATAGGAAAGTTTATTTTTTATTTGAAGTAAACAAATTACTTATTTTTCAAGTTCAAAAGATATGTAGTAATTTAAAAATTTTCAATAATTTGTTTTAAAGTGAAAATTTTTGTTCTTTGAATGTAAATTTTTAACAAAGTTTAGCTTGCATAATGTAGCGTAAATATATTAAAAATGGCTTGATTTAAGTTCTTCGTATTTAATCGAAATAATAGAAATAGTGTCTAGTTTAAATGCTTCGCTTAATAATTATAAAAAAAAATTAGAGAAAACGAAAGACTTTTTTTTTTAGATATTTTGCAGATATAATAAAAGTTGTTCTAATGGAAGGTTTTAATTCAGTAACTTCATCAAAAGTAAAGTTTTAATTAAGTGAATTTATCAGAAGTAAATTTTTAATACCTAATCGAAGAGCTTTGAGCTTTTAATGGCGAACCGGTTCAAAAGTTAATAGTGGCTATATCCGCAAATCCTAGTCTTGCAGATGATTAAATATTCCGAACGTCAAGAAAATATATGTGGAATGCTTATAAATTTTGGTAATTGCGAAATATAATAATAGGAATTTCGTAAAATATTTAGTGTGTGCCAGAATAGCTTCATTAAAATTCATTAGATATCAGTAGATTTGTTTTTAGACTTCAAGTATTAAAGACGTATCTAGGGCTTTTGCCGTTGTATAAAAATTTCTTTTAACATTTTGCATACTTCTTGAAAATCATAAACCCTAAAATTAAAAAATTCGAGCACTATTGGTTCAATCACTTCAACATTAGCAAATTGCTAAAAGAATTTTTTCAATTACTCTTTCAATCTTTCAGATTTTTTTTCATTCTAGTCGGGATTGCCGGTCTATTTCAATCTTCATTGACATCCAAGAAGCGGCTGCCATTTTATTTGAGACGAAAATTCTGCGTAATGGTGATATTGGCGGAGAGGAAATGGTGGTGGAAATTTCCACAAACAATTTTGAGTAAATAAAAGATTCACTAACTTTTTACGTACAAATAGTACATGCTCATGTCAAACGAAATCATAATTTTTAAACCATAACTATTGCAAGTTAAATTTTGGTAAATTTTAAATTTTCTACAGCTTCTTGGATGTCCATGAAAAAGTTGAATACACTGTTTTGGTGTGAATATATTTTGCTATTTTGTCACTAATAATAATTTTTCTTGAACTACATCATTTATGGATAATGGCTTAAAGTACATTCGCTTTGGAGTGCCCTAGAAAGCGTTTTTTTGCGCCTGATATCTGCTGAATGACACTTCGTATGGTTCGCGCCATTTTTGTTTTTTTTTCTGTTTGGTTATAATACAAATTTTGATTATAACAAAAGCTCACCTCAATTTTGGATTTCCGTGTCACATTTATATTTATATATTTCATGATGCTAAATTTATATGCAATGCGAATTAACCGATAATAATTTAGTCACAGCCAAAACACTAGCCAAAACTATCCAAAATCTATGCATTGCATTTCAACCACATTACTAAGCACAAAATTTGTTTTCTTGGCTTTTGTTCGAAGTACAAGTAGTGTTGGTGAGAGAGTCCGTGATGATTCTTAAAAGTATTGGTGCTTTTGTTCAAGGGGTTGAAGAGATCTGTCTGTAGCTGGGATGATGCCTTTATCTCTGTTCTCTTGAGTCTTCTTTTGAGGGGAAATTAGCTCTCGCCTTTGTATGTGTTGTAGTAGTAGTTGTATATGAACGGGGTAATTTATCTTTGCATGGATTTTATTTGGTTCTCCGTTGTTTCTCCTGCGCATTTCTCCACGAAAGCCACATTTCTTCGCCGCATTAAAATGAGTTTGAAAGTATCTTCATATTACTTTCGTTTTGCTACCAAATGTGAGTCAAATTCTTCATTTTAAGTTCAAACTCATTTGTGAGAGTATTTTGTTGCGAGATGCTTCAAAGTTGTATGAAAAATGTTTTAAACGGATTTTGAAATTCATGTTCGATGTACATATGTATGCGGAATTGCAAATTTTAATATGACGAAGTTGAAATGTTTCGTTGAGTTTCAATTGATCGTGTTTAGCGTACGCTCCTTGGGTTAAAACTTTCCTGGGGAAGAAAACGTAAGCATAAGTATTATTGCAAGCACAGAAAAAGTTTAAAAAAATAATATGCCATATTGAAAATGCTGATTAGAAGAGTTAGAAAATGTTAATTTTTTCTCTATTTAAAAAGCATTTCAAATATTAGTCTTCATTTATTAATGATGTGCATTTAATAATAAGAATTACACGTACCTGTAAATGGAAAAACATTATATTAGATTCAAATTCTCTTTTATAGAACACAGAATGATTAAATGGTGGAGCATTGTCCTTGGAACTGACTTTCGTTGAATAATTCATTTTTAAAATAATATACTTATTGTTGTTTGCTTTTAAAACTTCTTTTCGTAGATTAATGTATTTAATAATTGTTAAATTTGCTGAAAACTGTTTTTACCGCTTAAATGGTCTTCACGTTTTATTGAGTTTCTGTTTCTTATTATAATTTTTGAGATTTAAATTTTTATTTTTATTTTATTATTTCTTTTATTTAATATTTCATAAATGTGTATCTGACTTTTTTTATTGCAATTTAGTACATGGCTCGAGAAATACATGCCAACACTGATGCGTTAAATTCACTCGAATATACTAAAGTGAAAATTCCAACACAACGTCAGGATCTGTGTGATCCTGTCACGTCGACTGAATCCACTATGATGTTGGCTGATGTTGAGTGTTTGAAGATCGAAATGAAACTGATCGTAACTGCGTAAAATATGGGCTTTATAAAGTTCTCGGTATAATAGAACGAAAGCCGCATAAAAAATGCACAAACGCAAGGACATTGAATGCATACGCACAGGAACAATGGACAATAAGGTAGACACAGTTGATATTCGCCTCCCTTTGAAACTTGAAATACATGTTTATCGTAGTAAAACAACAGATCAGAATGAATTTGTATAAAAGTTCAATGATTTTGCTTTATGCTGAATAGAGAATGGTAAATTTTTGGTGGTGTGAAAGTATGCATGCGTTTAATGTATAGCTACCGCACGGCAGAGCACACCTGGACCAAAAGCTGGACCAGCATCAATTACTAGCACCCGTATTAGTTAACAATAGAAGCATAGATGAATTAAAACCAGTTGTGCTTGTTGCACGGAAGGGTAACGGCATTTTCGCTCAACATCCTTGACCATTGATCTGTCTACCGCTTTTCAATACTCAGTACTGAATGAATATAACATTGAATATGAGATAATAAAAAATATGTGTCTACTTTTTAGGAAGAAATGCAATAATTTGTCCTGTCTGGCAATAAAAACTGGTTTCCTCGTTGATCGTTGATATTTAATATATTTGAAAGAAAAAAAATTTGCGATGCTATTTATTGCTTTTTGAATCGTCTGTACCTTTACTACTCACTTTACAACTGCAAATTATTCACACTGTGTAGCAGTAAAAATTAATTAATTTTTTCTTTATAAATTTAGTCAAACTGCAGTTTTATAATACGAATTTATGATCTCGATGAAATATTTAGTAGAAACAATAATATACAATTGAAATTGTAGAGTTTTGAAAACAGGAAACACTATCATCATTTAAAGCTTAAATATCGAACAGACAAAATCGAATCCTAACAGATTTAATTTCAACTATAACACATACTTGAAAATGATATTAATAGGTAAATACTTTCGTTTGTTATGTTTTTTTTTGGTATTGTTATACTCTCGCCTTATATTGCTGCAAAGGGGCTAAAGGGAAAAGGTGGGGACTCTCACCTAAGGTGGTTTTCTGGCTCTACGAAACCGTAGTTAACCCAATAATGTTCTATGGTGTGTTCGTCTAGTGGAGGGCTCTCGAAATGTCCACATTGGTCATAGCGGAATCGTTGAAAACTGCAAATCTAGCCAGGGGCGATCGAGTTGGACCTCCATTAATGTCTTGCGTTCTGGCTTTGGATCAATGAACCTTGCGTACACTCAGCTGACGCTGGTCGACGACCAACTCCTGTGCGACCGCGAGATTCTTCTGGCCAAGAGTGGATCGCAGGAGGTCGGGGGAATTTCTTGCCCTGAGCAAAGTGCATCTTGCCGCTATGGTAGGAGTGCCCATTGGACAGTGTCCAGTGCGGTACGGCTTAGAGTACTACCCGATGTTAGTTGCCAAAGTTGTATCTAGGGGGCGAGGTGGAAACAACCCGGTACTTTCTCCTCCACTGTCCGGCTTTTGCTAGGCTAAGATGGAAATATCTCGGCAATCACACCTTCGGCGGACCTGAATACTTAGCCGAAATGGATATTAGCCGTATTAACAAGTTTGTTATTGGCACAAAGCGTTTTGTCGACTTGTAAGGGTATTTTGATCCAGATGATAGGAGTTTTTTAGGTATCACAACGGACCAGCGTTTTAAGCTGTCCAAGTGAGATCCTTCTTGGGATCGACCTCCTAACCTATCCTAACCTACACCCTCGCAACAGGGTATAATAGTTTTGTTCATCTAACGGTTGTATGTATCACCTAAAACTAATCGAGGTACATATAGGTTTATATACATATGTATATAAATCACCAGGATGATGAGACGAGTTGAAATCCGGACGACTGTCTGTTCGTCCGTCCACTGGTCCGTGCAAGCTTGAGTAAAATTTAAGAGCTTAATGAAATTTGGTATACATTTTCCTTGTCACCATAAGAAGCTAAGTTGTAGATGGGCGTAATCAGACCACTGCCACGGTCATAAAACTCTAATAATCGAAAACCTTTAAATTGCCGTAACTATGTCGCAAATTTAGACACAATACTGTAATTTGGTACAACGAATAGCATTTTCCAGGGGCACCTCTGGGTTAAAACTCTTTAAAAACTGAACGTGGGTCCGTTACCTGTTAGGTTTAATGCATATATTATCTAAACTATTTAAGTTACATTATCTAAATTTGTTTAGGGCAAATCCTTTATACACCGTGTGAAAATATGTGAAATCGGATGATAACGCCGCCCCTCTCTCTTATAACGGTTTTGTTAAAAACTGCTAAAAGTGCGGTTAATCAATAAATAAATGCGTTAGAGACATCAAATTTACACCTGGGATGGTACAAAAGACCTTAATAAAAGCCGGTGTCAAAAATTGAAAGAGGGGCGTGGCACCGTTCACCGTTAGTTGAAAACCCTTGTCTCGCCCAATTTCAACTAAATTCTGTATATAACATTATTCTAACATTCCTATGTCACAGAGAGTAAATGGGCGAATTTTATATTATATATCATCTAATTCTTTCATTTTCAAGTATACAAATGAAGCAACAATGAGTATATCGAGATAAAACTTTGCACAAGTAGTGGCTTCAAGGTATGCCACCTGTTCAAGCCTCCATACTCGTATACCGAAGATGTGGACCCCAGTGCTTGTGGTAAAATTTTAACGGAAAATATCGGTCATTTTGTGAGATATATTATTAAAATTAGATGAGAATCCTTTCCTGATAATAGTATGCCTGTATGTCAAAAATAGGATGAATCGGGCCAATATTTCCCTTAGCCACCATATAACTAATTGATAGATTCTCGAACTTCCGAAGTGTGAGTATTTTTGTGCCTATAATGGATAAAATCGGGTGAAAACTTGGCATAGACCTCATATAACTGATATCAGGATATTCAAACATCCGTTTGACTTTTCATCTTATATTATATATTGGTAATGGTATGTGAGGTACCTTCATTAAAATCATAAGTTATCGTTTTTGTTATTAATGAAGATATTTATCCTGATTTGGTCCTTGCAAGTTGCGAGTTTTTATTTTTATTTTTATTTTTTTGAATTTTGAACACGTGCTTATGTTTAAAAATGTACATATTTCACATTTTCTATGTTATGGAGGCTTCGAGTTCCATCATAAAAACAAACTCTCATGACCGTGAAGAATTAGTACAAAAAATTACATGACTTCTCATTAAGTATTGTAATTTAAGCGGGATGATTGGTTGACAAGACAGATTTCATTTGTATATGTATGTGCACATATGTAAAAGATATATGGAGATTTTCTATCTAATCTATATATCTATATCTAAATGATCGGCGTGATGAGCTAAGTCAATTTAGCCATGTCCATCTGTCTGTATATTTGCGAATTAGTCTTTCAGTTTTTGAGATATCAATCTGAGATATCTTCACTAAATTTGGCATGGATTATTATCTAAGGCAATAATTATATATAAGAAATACAGTTTTTCAGATCGGATCACTATAGCATATAGCTTCTATATAAACTGAATGATCAAAATCAATTTATTGGAAAGAATATTTTGTATTTGTGAAATTTTTTTGTTTTTTATAGTAGGGGAAGCGTTGAAAGCCGGGTTGCGGAACTTTAATCCGCTAAACTTAACCTATCCCTAACTCATGTCTCTCCTACGGAATCACCGGATTAAGTACTACTTCATGCGAGAGAAAAGAAATTTAAGTCGCCACTATAGTACAGACTGACTCACTCCTAATCTGTTGTAAGAAAAAAAATCATGCGTACATGCATGCGTATGTATGTATTTCATATTGAAATTCTTTGAACTTAATAGACCCAAAAGATTTTCACATATGTACATATAACATTTTTTATATTCAATAAGTGATGGTTTTAAAAGCAGCCCATTGCTAAGGCAACTTCGCTAAATGCATATATATTTGTACATACAAATCACTCGCAACCCCTGGTTATACTTTGTTCTGGCACATATTTTAAATGCTATTAACCCCTATGATTTTTTAAGTCGAGGTTAGAGGTTGTGTCACAACTTTGTGCAATGACATTGCATACCCGCATATTCCGCGGGCATATGTATGTGTACATATACGTATATAAATATATATGTGTATTGGTCACAATTCGTATTTGGGCCATTTCGTTCACAATCGTACACATTACGGGAATTAGTAGACCATTGTGAATTGTTCTCATCATTTTGTTTTTATCAATTTATTTTTGCATTTACAGTTTACAATTATTGGTGTAAATTAGAGATTACCAAAACCTCCGATGTTAATTGTCCATTTCCTTAATAACACCAAGTCGATATCAAAAGCACTTCTATTGGCGTTGGCAAGGAAAACAAATTTCTCAACTACAATTCTTTCGTCATCATCAAAAGGCAAATTTGACTAAAAGGTCGATTCAGGTCTAAATTGGTCAGCGAATGTCCATCAAGAGAAGCGAGGATTAGTCAAAGTGATGCGATGGACAGGGCAATTGAAGTTTGTAAAGTCTGAAATAGCAGTCAAAACTTGGCAACTGATTCGTACAAAGGACCCTCCTACTAATTACTCGTATACCGACACACTCGACACAATCTCAGACGCCTCAAGGAAGAGATTAATAAGGACCCACTAACAGAAACTTTAGTTTTCACGACTGTGTGATTCTAAGCGTACCGCTGCCAAATTCTGTTGTTTTGAGACAAATTATAATATATTTTCGGCGAGACTTAAAAAATTAAATGTAATATATCCCAAAAAATTACGTATTGAGTTCTTTAGTTACACCGAAACTTTTTGTTGTATACCTGACATAATGTACTTATAACCGTTACAAATTGGTGATATCAAATTGTTATGCTACTTTCTTCCCACTGGGGGGGTCCTATTCACTTTACCATACTTGAATTCTGTATTGAGCCGCCATCATGCTCGTTAACACAAAAATATACATAACTATCTTCCACTTCATCGTCCTTGCTCTTGTCTTTGGT